CCGGCGCCCTTTACATCGCTGGTTCTGTTCTCGGCGAAGGCTTTCCAGGCGAGCGATGTGCTCTTCTTTGGCAGGGGAATCTGAAGCGCTCGACGCAGTGGCAGTCGAGGCGACAGCGGCTTTGCGGCGGTTACGGATCCATTCGCACTGCTGCGTATGTCGTCGCTCCTTCCACAGCCAGTCTTCTTACCTCAAAAGGGCACACGGCTGACCCGTCCTGAGTCCAAACCAAAACTCATAAGAGGGTAGGAAACAGCGCGCAAAACAGACGAGGACGAAGAAATACACGCGACGAGCGCTGCGCTCGTTACGTGTGCTTCTTCTTTGTCGTCGTCTGTTTTTCGCGCTGTTTCCTACGATGAATTCCCACCAACGCGCCACCCAACTATCCATTCTTCTATGATAGCTGCAAAGGTTGGCGCCATCTACCAGCGACGGCGGCAACCTTACTGGTTGTGTGCTTGCCGCCGTCGCTTATAGATGGCGGTAGCTGTCCAGAGGTGTTTTTGTCGACAATTGTTTTGTACCGGACACAATCCTCGGGAACCTAGCCCTTAACAGCTTCGCTGTAAAAGTATTTTTTACATGCATTTTTATTTAAATTTTCCATGAGTTTGATATCGACATTTGTTTGCTGTACGTGGGTTTGTTCTAAATAGGTTTCACTGTAGTTGGTTCATTGCTGTATATAGTGCCAGTTGAACACAAAGAAAACATTAGAGAGAGAGATATGCATACACACCAGCGGAGTGTATGCCTGTCTCTCATGTAAAAGAATCAAAGAGAAAAGGCATACACCAGTGGTGAGTACGTCCTTTCTATTTCTCTCTCGTCCTTTTTTCATGTTCAGCTGGCACTATATATGGGAAAAGAAAACATTGTATAAAATCTTGAATTTTTTTTTCCCTTGTTTTTGACACTTTTTTTTTTTTTTTTGAAATATCAAAGTTTTGTATCTTTCGCTGTGTCATGAAGGGCGTGGCATTGGCTGTGTGAACGTGTGCAAACTCGGTGGCGGTCATGTGAGAGGGTGGCATGTAAAACACGACGTGTGAGTAAGATCTATTCAGCTACATTCGAGATGTGTGTGTTTTCCCCTTGTCGTCCTTTCATTTCCGGTTTAGAATCATGCGCATCGATGAGCGACAACTTTTAGTCCGACACCAAAAGTTGATACCGTAAAACGCCGAACCCGCCGAAAATATAAACCCCCGATAAAACGCCTGCCAAACCCAACTTTTTCCAACTAACATACCTTTCTCAGAAATGGGTGTCATTTAGTAGCTGCTACTGTCATCCGAGTCTGCCATTGTTTGATTACATACTCCGAGCGTATCGGCAACGGGACGTTTCGGTGGCGCCCTCTTGTGGTTCTCATCCCCCACTTCACGGCCTGGGTTAATAGTGCCGAGCGATAAGTTCGATGGCGCGTAAAAAGCGCGTCGGAAGCTTAGTTATTCGTTCCCAAATCAGCGTCATCAGAATCGAGAGTCTGACGTGGCTCTTAGTTCCGGCGACGAGAACAGAGATAATCCCATTCGAGGTGTCATAGCGGGCGCCTGACCAACCTCGGAAGGCCGATTGCAGCGACGCTTTTCGCCGCGTGCATTGCCGACACTGGAGACGAGGGCTGCGTCGCCGTTCGGCGAGGACTCTGGTGCAGTCGCACCACGGTTCATAGAACACATCTCCGACTGGTGTGTTTGGTGTCCTTTTCCGCACGTGCATCAAAAGCGGTCCCGAAGTGACAACGAATGACGTCACAGAAGTCAGTGTCGCACTGTTGGACGTCGCGATCCCGGCGGTCGATCGTAGAAGTTCCAGCAAAGAGCACGAGCAAACGCAAGTGCCGCCATCATTGCAGCTTCTCATCTCCCGTCTGCCGTAGCTTTCATGAAGCGTCGAGCTAGAGAGTGGCCCACAGTGGAACAGGTGTCTGCCACATTAATCACCGCCGCTGGGACACTGCCGAGATCGCAACCTGCGACGGCGTGACACTTCCGCGATGTCGTCGGGCGGAAATTGAGGGACCTTTTTTTTACAGTGTAGCTGTTAAGGGTTAGTTTGGCCAGCTTCGTGTCCACCACTTTTATTTTCACCAGAGTGGAAAGGCTGAATTTCTCTAGGCGTCGTCCTAAAAGTCGTCCTCAAGGTCGTCCTAGAAGTCGTCTTTGAGGTTGTCCTAGACGTCATCCTTGAGGTCGTCCTAGACGTCGTCCCTGAAATCGTCCGAGGGGTTGTCCTCGAGGTCGTCCTAGAAGTCATCCTTGAGGTCGTCCCACCATAGTACGGCTCCACTGGTCTTCCATCTTAACCAGAGTGGAAAAGCTGAGAAAGTTTTTTTGGTCGCTGTAAAGAGACCAGTCGGACAGGCGTTCTTGGCACCATGGTCACATGCGTTTTCCCAAGATACGGCGACTGCCGATGTTGCTCGATGGGGGTTTTAAATATCTCTTCTGCCGCTGACTCGGGTCGCTGAGCAGGAGGCAAGCGGGAGCGGCGACCGCGATGACCCCGTGGTGATCAATGACGACGGCGAGGAGGAAGAGGTTGGTGAAGGCTGGGAGCCCCTGGTCATGGAATTTGAGCACTGGGACTCGCTGCTGCGCAAACTGGACTCGGTGCTGGAGCTGGCCTGCCTGCTGCGGCACTGCAATGAGCAGACACAGATGGCGCCGGACGTGCGAGAGGTGTCGCTCAGCTCACTCCTTTCAGGTGGTCAGGGTGAGTACTCGAGGTCATTTCGGGGCCTGCTGAATTGGTGAGGAGATGGAACGATGGGGGGCGCTTTTGTCTCGGCTATTAAATGCCAGGACACGTCGTTACAGAATGTAAAGGTCCCGGCCACCCAAAGTCATCGGACAAAGAGGCCGACTTCCTCGGGGCCCCGGGATTAGATAAGAACGCAGGCGTGTGCTAATGCTAAATACTTTTACGGCGAAGCTGTTAAGGGGTAGTTCCCCCCTATCGTGTTTGCAGACAATCAAATGTCGACAGAAAACTCCCCATTGGTACTGGAAAGTATGCAGAGATAAAAACAAAAAGAGGGGTCAAGTATGAATAAATAAAAAGAAAAAGAGGGAGCAACCAGCGTGAATCACACTTCCTTGGCATTATTAGATAGTGAGGTCCTGGTTCCTTGTTATCATCTCCAGGCGTCGTCCTCGAGGTCATCCTAGAAGTCGTCCTTGAGGTTGTCCGAGAGGTCGTCCTCTAGGCATCGTCCTAGAAGTGGTCCTTGAGGTCGTCCTCAAATTCATCCTCGAGGTCATCCTAGAAGTCGTTCTTGAGGTCGTCTGAGAGTTAGTCCTAGGCGTCATCCTTGAGGTCATCCCAGGCGTCATCCTCGAGGTCGTCCTAGAAGTCGTCCTTGAGGTCGTCCTTAAGGTCATCCTAGACGTCGTCCTTTAGGCATTGTTCTAGAAATCGTAAAATAACAGCTTCGCTGGTCCTCCACCTTCACGAGAAGTGTAAGGGCTTTACGGTTTTGTAATATTCACTCAACTAGAGGTGCAATTGTAACCTCTAGTAGGTTACGAGTTTTCAATTCCTAACTCTTGTGTCCCGAGGAATGCCCATCTCGATCGGTAAACGAGCAGCTGTTCCCAGTCCCGGCGTTGCTGCAGTAAAGTGGCGCAGGAGCCTATGTTGCAAGTAAGCTAAATAATTGAGTTTTAAAGCATGAAACGCTTTTTAACACTACCTCCAATCCCCAAATTTTGTCCGTCCATCCGTCCGTCTGTGCATCTTCCGTTAAATTTAGCGGGGAAAGTGGCAACTTGTGGCCTAGACACTAAACCAGTTTCTTCAATAAATTTAGCCGGGGGAAACCACGTGTGATATGACCTATACAACCATTCAGTTTCCTCGCTAGCGGGAAAATATATGTCACGTGACACCAACTCCACGTAATGCATTTCATGCATTATAAGACTGGAGGTAAAGGTCGCTGGAAATTTCTTTCATATGTAGACCTCTATGTGTCAGGTCACGGCAGTGTGTTCGAATTCTACAAAGATGTTGATTAATGAAACTGTACATAGTAGTTGGGGCATTGGAAAACCACCAGATTAATTGGACATGCGCTCTTCCCACCTGGCAGGGATCATCACTGAGCTTGTGGCGGCGTGGGCTTGCGACGTTGGCCTGACTCCCGACGACCTTGAACGCCTTTCAAAGCTCAAGCTTCCCGAAGAGGGGTCCGATCATCTCGTGGACGACTACCAGTGTAAGTGGCCAGACTTTGTTCGTTCCCAGTTGATTATAGGATGCCATAAGTAACTGAACGAGTGCACTAGAAGTCAACTTGATTTTTTGTCCGTGACGAAGACATCGGATGCAGGAGACGTGCCAGGTTCCCATGGGGCTGAATAACTTCTTGCCGTCTAAAGATATGCACATGTACTCTTAAATATAACTTTCTTTATTACTAAACTTAGTGAGCAATCACATTGTCAAATTACACTGCAACGACCTTCTAAATATAGTGGGAAATCAGCGTCACATGATACCGGGACGTCAGATGACTGCATCATCACATGGTCAAGTAATATCACGTCGTATGAGGCCACAATTTTCTTACTAAATTTAGTGGGAAAATTCATCCACTACATTTAGCAGGAAAAGTGCTCTGCTAAATTTATTATGTTGAAGTGTTGTGGGACAATGCAATGTCACGTAACGTCATGCTACACGACCTGATGTCAGAGGACCTCGTAGCTGCCTGCGACGTCGCAATACCACGTGATGTCACGGTCACAGGACATCAGTGTCAATTGAACGCAACCTGCCAAGTTTAGCGGGACGAAAACCCACTAAATTTAAATGCGACAGTGCAGCTTGCTGCAGGAGAGTGTGCAGCACCTGGGTGATTGCTGGAGTTCCTTTGCAGGGGACGGCGAGAAACCGGCAGTTGTTTCGAATAAATTACGAAATTGTTTCATCCAACAGTGGTAAGACGCCGTTCCTTTCGCTCATCCGACACGTTCAACACGCAGTGCAGTTTGTGAGGGTGAGACGGCGGTTTGCGCGGTCGTTCGAGCTCGATTCGCTGCTGGTCAACTGTGCCTCGGAGCAGCTGGTGCGCTGGGACCGCGACCGGGACCAGATAAACCGCCTGGACAAGGCCTCGGCGTTCCTGTCTGCTGTCTCCAGCACCATCGTAAAGAATGGTCGGTGTAGTCTCTGCACCTCTCTCGTACAGTTGGACATCTTTTTAACTTTGTAACTCGGTGTAGTTTGTTGTGGGTCAAGGACAGCAGCACGAGCCCCGCCCTCGAAGCTCTCTGCTCACCCTGATTGGTGGTTTCCTCCCCTCCACTCACCTCCCGCTTTTCTTCACCCGTGACATACCCGTGGCCTTGAGGTCTATTTTTCTTAGAATTCAGGGGGGGGGGGGGGGGGGGGGGGGGGGGCAGGTTTTGTTTCCACAGATTTCATGTTTTTCGGGGTCTGTTTTTAAGGCAGGACAAAAAGTCGACGTTCGTCAGCAGTTGCTCGCGTCAAAGAAAACATTGATAAAAAGACTATGTGTTTTTGGGGACGTATACCTTTTAGCGTAGTATCTTTTTAACTATCGAGGGCAAACTTGGAAGTGTTCAGAACTGAGTACAAGACAAGCAATTAAACAAATCAACAGAGGTCTATTTTGTGATTTTATGGTCATTGTACTGCTAGGTCTGGAACCCTTCCTTTCCTAAAACTGCGTATGCCACACAAATGCACCACTTCGGTAGTCCCGTTTCACGTGGACGTTTCGCGCCAAACTCGTAGATTGAAAAAAACATCTACAACGAATAACTTTGTGGGTCCCGCAGAGTTTTCTGTAAAGACGTACGGCCGTGGCACCAATGTTTGCTCTTTGTGAGATTGTTTTTATGACTCCAGAAATCATAGTCCAGCTTTTGATTGGCTGCAGTGCCAGCTCACATAAGCCACAACGCTCTCGTTTGTAAAGTTTACATCTGCCTTCATGTGTGCACAGTGTTTCAGTGATGCTGAAACTTAATAATGCTTAAAAGGATGCTGAACCGAAATTTGGAGTTCGCAAAATGAGGCCGCAGAAGCATTGAACAAAATGCTACAAACTTCAAGACCTTACTCATACATCGATATTGATGGCTGTATTCTTGGGAAAGAAGGGTGCGATCAAGTGAGGACTGTGATGTCACAATTCTTCTGGAACAGCTGAGAATGAGGGGAAGCGGCCACGCTTCTCTCCTCCTTGTTTCGGTTCACCTGCACGAGGGAACAAAGCGAAGAGGAGAGGGAATGGGAATCGTGACGTCGCATGTCTCGTCAGCCGTGTTCAATTGTGCACTCCTTTTCTAAAAAATATGGCCATCCGTTAGAGATATCGCAGTACGAGTGATGTTTTTAAGTTTTGCAGCGTCTCTCCTATCGCTCCAGCCAGCAGCGTAGACTTTTTATTTTCCCAAGTGGGGGGCAGGCTGAGAAGTTCTCCGGGGGGGGGGGGGGGGGGGGGGGGGGGGGGGGGGATAGTGAGTGTTACCTTTTTACCAGAATTGGGCATCGAAGCTAACGAAAGCATGCTGGGATTCTATTTCCGATGTATTTTGTCAATAAAGGCAACGTGGGCGTTATTTTGTTTACGTGCCACTACTAGAAGCTCGTTACATGGCACGTAAACAGCGTCTTGGTAAGGATCATGGCCCGGGCCAGGGGGGGCCCAGATCTCACAACGGGGGGGGGGGGGGGTGGGGGCACGAACCCCGATGCCCCCCCAAAGTCTACGCCTATGGCTCCAGCGTTGTTTAGTGAGCTCCGAATTTCGGTTCAGCATCCCTTTATTGTGCCATCAGATATCTATCAATGACCAATGCTTAATAAGCTTGTTGGATGAAATTAAATGGCTCTGCGATTTATTAGTCGTGTAAAGATGCACCGGAGGTGTGAGGCCACGTCTTCTTGGCAGATCGCTGGCCAAGTGGCCGAGCGCACACAGAACTTGGAGCTCATGCAGCAAAAGCTTGCGCCACAGAATTGGGGAGTCCTGGGTTGAATTCCCTACTCCTACCCATTTCAATCTGGACGAGCATCATACCGGCGTGCAATCATGTTTCACTACTGCGTGAGGCGGTTGTACTGCACAGGCTAGCGATTGTATTGCACTGGCTAAATTTCTCATCTACAGCGTGAACGACCTTACGCTGTATAAAGACGAAAGTCAAATTTGTTCCTTTTTGCCGTGTCTTGTACGAAGGTGTGGGCTGCATCATCTGGAAGACATTTCTACAGAAACGCTTTGAAGCCCTCGTCCTGCTGATGGAAAAGGTGGGTGCACTTTGATTAATCAAAAAAAACAATATGGTTCAGATACGCAACCGTCTATAGCTGTTTACAAAATGGTTGCTAATGCAACCGAGGCCTGCACAATGCATTGTAGTGGAACGCGAGGAGTTGTGACACAAGTCCGTCCAGCTCAAACCTAAATGTCTCAACCAGCAGCTTATGTGCAGCGTTGTTGGAGGCATGGGCAAGGAAGTGCGGTTTCAGAGTGACTTCCTTGTTCAGGCACTCCTGCGAGCAAGGCATTTTACTGAGCTATGCTCTCGTGCGTGTGTTAGATAGCACTGCACATTGCTTGGAAGACGAAGTGTAGTGATGGGTGTGATTAAAAGCATAAATGTAGCTGAAGCTCTCCTTGAACGTTTCCAGATGGGCAAGACACCCAAGGATCGGGTCTGCAGGAGGGTAAGCTTGCGTCACTTCCTCTAACTTGTTATTTATTTGAACCAAAACTAATGGAACCCACTCACTGGCAGTCTTATAAATTGTATTTTTTGCATGGTATCGTCTGTTTTCTGTGTTTGTCATATACTATGTCTGGTGTCAGCTGATGACGACCAGACCGCGACAGTCCTCTCATTTTAGCTACAACTTGCATCACAGTGTAAGTAAACATGGGGACAAGAACTCAACGAAGTCAACAAAAGACTCTTGGAAGAGAGAATTACCAGCTGCTCTGGAAACTTTTTTAAAGGAATTTTAACTGACAAAATACCTGCCAGCAAATGTTTACCGTATATTCAATCTTTGCCAAGTTCTCCGAAATGCGGAGCTCTACGTGTTTGCCAAGTTTATGTCGAGCGAAGAGGTGGCAGATTGTTTCACTGACGCCTTCCCCATCTTCCCGCCGAAAGGATGTGGAGATCAGCGACATCCACCTGGAGCGGTTTGTTGGCTTCTGCTCACAGATCCTGGAAGCCATACTGGAAGTGAGTTCACCCCCGTTTCGTGACCTCGGGAACACTGCACGGACCTTGCCCGCTCCCGTCGGTGTTCATTGCGCCGCCTTTAGGTCGTGGGAGGGAGTGCCAGCAATGGAGTGCAGGCGCGGCTGTTGCTTCGACGTCGTAGAGTGCGGTCAATGACACTGTACTGCGGAGAGCAGGGTAGTGCGCCGCCCAGCCCACCTCCCTCCGCTCCGCGCAGCAGTAATCTAGGAAGTGCACATTAGTGCTACCCTACCTTCGTTGCATTTAACAAAGTTTCTATGCCAGGAAATATTTTTTTCCCTATGCAACATGTTTTCCTCACAATTTAGGCATGATGCACAAATGCCTCGTGAGAGGCCCTTTAAGTACCGAAATTATGACTAGATGTTTCCTTCCATTGCGGTGCCCACTGTAGTTTGTTTCTGTATATGTGTGAGCGAAGCCGCAGACATGAGTTTGTTGTCCCGAACAGCGCTCTCACCGCATGAGCGTGCGTGCTCGGAAGGGACGCCGAAAGCCCGGAACTCGCTCTTGTAGCTACCGCCATGTTTGCATTCAAACTGAAATGGAGTATAGACGATGTCCCCAAATGCCCGTCTCACCTCCTTTTCTTCTTGTCGGGGAGGCTGCGGTGGGCCCCGAGGTGGAGACACTCCCCGTGCTGCCCCAGGAGCCCCTGTGGCAGGGCCAGGAGCAGACGGGACCCCAGCCGCTGGTGTCCCACACCCTGGGGCAGAGGCCCCCCAACATGGCCTCCGTCCGCCACCACCTGTTTCTGGCCACCGTCGCAAGGACCGTCGTCTGCTTCGGCATGCGCTCCGTCCGGCCCCTGTCCCTCTTCACACCCTCGGTACGGCACTTTCGAGGCCGGTTCGCTCGTGCATCTGGTGCTGCGGGTTAAATTAAATAAATAAATAATGGCCGGATAAATGTATACTCATAACAGACGTCTGAACCAATCTTTAACGTGATGGCCCACACAACCGATTTGGGAGGGTCGCTTGCGGCATGACAAAGCCCCGGTCTCCGCCAAGAGCGTCCCCGTCTCCTCGCAGGTGCGCAAGGCCTTCTTCCAGGACCTGCACTCCCCCCTGGTGGCACCCACGACGACCGTGTCACCCTCGCTCAAGTCCTCTCCGCAGCGGAGCTTCCTGCTGCGGGCCGCGTCGGCCGTGATCCAGTCGATCCCGGACGGGGCCGCACCCGAGACGCTCTCCTGGCAGTTCGGCTGGCTGGAGCGTCTGCTCGACCTTGCCTGGAACTGGGGGGAGGATCTGGATGTGGTTCGGCGACACTGCGTCTGTGAGCTCTACTCCGGGGGCCAGGACACATTCGCCGAGGAGGTGAGGGGGCGTCCGCCGCGCCGCCACGTTGCCTAGAACGCTCGTCCGACCGGCGCGTTTACTGTCCCGTGAGGGGTATTCAATAGCGGTCACGGCCGAGTCCATCGCTGCCGAGCGCACGCCGAAGGCGAGCTTCCTTGGCGCTTTCGCAACTTGCATTCCACACCTTCGAGATTGCCGGTCTTGGGAGTCAATGAGTGTGAGCTCCCTCCAAGCGTGCCCAGCAAATATGGAGTCCAGCGAATTTAAAGGGGTCCCAAAGTGGCAACAAATTTCCTCACAGGAGCCAGCTTGTCATGCCATCGGACATCACGACCCCGGCAGTTTTTCATAGAAATTGCCGGCGAGAAAGGCGAGCAGATGCAAGGGTCGCTGTCATCGCGGCGTGTCGTCTCATGTCCGCTCGGTTTCTGTCAACTGGCTGCAGAGTGACTTTCAGCAGAGCAGGCGTCTCCCTCGTCCACCTCTACCGCCGTGCCACCACAGGGATTGTGGCATGCAACAGCACGACACCTCTATGGTGTGAGGCCGCGGGACAGGCACATTTGGAACACCTTGCAAAATTCCAATTTAATCGTACATACCCGAAACCAGGCAAAAGATTTGTCTATTTTTTTTTTAACCTCAACTCGGGGGTTGTGAAATGTTAAAAATGCTGCAAAAACAGCGGCCGTGCATTTTTATGTCCTTCGACGGATGTTCGTCGTCTGGTTTGCGAGCTTGTTCCGAAGTGGTCGTCATTCGTATGTTCCGTCAAAATTGAGACTTGTTGAGATCATCCCGCTCGTCGCCGGCCTCTGCTAGGTGTTCTCGGCATTTTGCGTTCGGCGAGCCACCCAGGAGCGAGCTGGCTAACCTGTGGGCAGACGATTAACGGGCTGGTGTGAAACAGAAAATGCATGGCCGCAGTTTTTGCTTTATTTTTTTTAAAACACACCGTCTTCGAGTCTAGCTCTATAAAAAAAAAAAAGATTAGACATGAAACTTATTGTGAAACAACATTCGCATGCCCAGTGTCAGCTATGTACGTTTGAAATTCAAATTTTGCGAGGCATGCCAAATGCGCTGGTCCTTACGGTTTCACCCCATACAACGTCATCGGACAGAACTAGAAAAATCTGCTTTTGAGGATGCGGTAAAGACGCCGGTCAGGGACGCACTCCAGGCACTATAGAAAGGCTATGGGAAAGACAGCATGCACCAGATGCATGCTATCTACATTAGGAGTCAACCAATCGGTCGCTCGGAGAACCGAACGGGTGGACGTGGGTTGGGAGAAGCCATTGTGGAGAAAGTCATTGCATGCGTCTGCTCTTTCAGAAATCCCGCGCACCCGCCGAAAATGGACGATCAGAAACGCCATCTATACTCGAGACCTAGGGGTCATATTATTTTCGAATACTTGAAATGTCACATAAAGAATGCTATACAGTGAAACCCATTTAGAACGAATCCACGTACAGCGAATTATTTTCAATATCGAACTCACGAAAAATTTAGATAAAAATGTATGTAAAAAGTATGTTTTATAACGAACAACATATTGGCTATATCAAACATTTTGCCCCCGGGGAAGGCTTCCAAAAACGCACAAACTGTCTTCTAGCCTGTCCCTTTCCCAAAAAAGAAGTAGGAAAGAAAGAAAATTCCAAAAGCTCAAGTTGCAAACAAAATTGAGCGAAGAAAAGCGATTCAGAAGGAGGCAAGAAAGCTAAAAAATACCCTGCATGCACGCACAGAAAAAAAAAATCTTTTCATCCCAATGTGTTTGCCCACAAACAGAAGCAATTCAGAAGAAAAGATGAACTAAGAAAGAAAACAAACTCTGCATGCATGCAAAAAAAAAAAAATCTTTCTAGCGCGTTATTACAAGGCGGAAGTGAAGAGATGAGAAAAAAAGAGAAGCTTTCGCCTCACAACAAACTCATCGTTGAAGTTCATTGTAAATGTTTTTTGCTATATCGAACTGATCTGAGCGTTTTCTGCTGTTTGTTATAAGCGGGTTTGGCTGTATACCCGCATAAAAATATTGTCATTTTTTCTTTTTTTTACATGAGTTAGCAAGTTTTTTATGATTAATTATGGAAACGTTGCATGCCGCGTGTGCAGGTGACGCCGGCGGTCAAGAACCGGGCTGAGTTGGGCTCCCAGCTGCTGGTGATAGCGGGTCAGAGGGTGCACCACCTCCTATTCATGAATGACGCCAGCATGGCCAGCCGGGTGGCAGAGCTACCTCCGCACGTCAGCAACTGGCTTAGGGCACAGGTGAGGCGGCGTTTGATTGGCACCCGAGAGCCGGCTTTTTTGCACTATATCGAACCTGGGTTTTCTTAAATATTGTGTTCCGACTAATCAAAAATCCCCTTGAAAAGTGTAGGCACCCTGTACATCTGTATCGAATCCACTGCCATCTATGAGCAACGGTGGCAACCAGACAACCGGCAAGCCGGTTGTCTGGTTGCCACCGTCGCTTGCAGATGGCGCTAGCTGTCCAGAGCTCTGTGTCATTAGGTCATTTGAGGACAGATTCGAGCCTGGGGAAACTAGCCTTTAACAGCTCCGCTGTAAAATATAATTTCGGTTTCCCGGGGAGCTTCCCTCTCAGTTCTACAAATATGTCACGGTAGGTAGCCAGTAGAGAATTTGTGTTGTCTGCGCAAGGTGGCGACGCACACCGGAGTTGGTGGGCGAAGCCAGAGCGTCAAATATCGCTCCAGCGGCGACGCCATAATGACGTCACGCACGCTAATCAACGAATGACATCCGACGTCCGATATCATGCTCAGATCACCGTGGCCCAGATACCTATAAGACTGCCAACCTCATTGAGGTCTAGCGTTGCCTATTATACCGTGGTGAGCTTTTAGGTTTCAAGCCATATGCGGACACCATACGTTATTTGTGGTACCATTTGTCGTGCTACAGAGGAGAGTTTGTCAGGGAAGTGTTTGAATGCCTTCGATCGATCGAGCCGCATCCGGATATGATCGTCAAATGACGAGTCGCAAATATGTTCTCACTTCGACCAGAAAAAGGCCGATCTGCTCGCAGAGAAAGGACAAAAACGCCGGAAATATAAGCCAAACAAATCGCCCTTGCATACTTGAGGAGCAGCATGACAAGTTACTGTTAAAAAAGAGTGTGGTAAAGCCAAATTGATGAAAAGTGGGAGATGCCGAATAACTACGCCCTGTGGCTAACCTGCAAAAATAAACAGCCTATAAACAAAGTTGGTGATAGTCGAGGGATCACGCGTGCGCGTCGCTGCTTCCTACTGAATTCGCGAAGTTTTGGGTTTGAATTCCCTTGGGGTTATAGCTTCATGGATTACAGTTATAATATAAAACAAAGTAAAGCAATAACAATCAGGTTCGACAATCGCATTCCGAGACTGCAAGCCGCAATGAGACGAGCAGCACAGTTACGACGGTTATCAAGCGAGAGCAGACCCGGATGCTTTTAAAACCGAAACTGTACCGCAATCATGTGATGTAGTGGCGTACAATTAATACAAGAACGCCTATAAATAACTCGGTTTTCATCACTTCCAATTTATTATTTGGAGATTATGCTACGACAGTTTGTTGCTCGTGCTGCCGCAATATTTTGCTGCAATACTTCGAAATCGGCGTCCTTGCGGGTTAATGAATATAAGAAAATTAAGATCTGGCAGATCTTTTCATGACCGGTGACACCACCTTTTTCAAGTATCGACTTCTAAACGAGTCGCTCAATATTGACGAAATTTGGAGGGTCTATTCATCTCAATGCCTGAATGCACTCTATGACATTTCATCTCCGTAGGACAATTTTCCGATAAGCTACAGGGGGAGGTACACAGCTATTGATGCAAGTCGTCCGACTTGGCAAGGAAAGCTATCATATAAAATTGCTGCAGAGTATTGAGCATTTGTAAGCTTCAGCCTTAACTAGAGCATATGGCGGGTGCAGCTATCTATTTGTCACCTTAAAATCCGTGTTTTTTCTATGCCAAATGTCAATTTGAAAAGCATTCCGCATAGTGGGGCATTTTCTCATCAAAACTCTACTTTTTGGCAAAAAGAACTTTATTTAAATAGAAAAATCAATATCTAGCCGCATTCCTCAATAAATTTTAGTTCAGAAACTTCCACAGCAAAGAATACATTCAGCGATTCATTGAAATGAAAGATTTCCTAAAATGAAAGTTGTTGCAAAAAAGTGAAAAACTTGTTTGAAGTTTCTACACCACTGCATTTGATTTCACGAATGGTGGTGGCATAGGTGGTGCCTTCAGCTTACGCCCAATCTCCAGCATGGCTTTGCTGAGCGAGTGCGAGCTTAAAACGCTTTCTTCAAGTCATTTTGTTGTCGGCATGTGGACATTGATTGTGAAATGAGTGAGGAATTCTGTATGCTTGCAATACACAAACTAACATCAGCAAGGGTGGGCGGGGCAAGCATCATTGAAATACAAAGCAGACAAACCCACGTGACTTTCTATAAGCGAATGCTGGTTTCAGTCAGTTTTGTGCCCAATCAGGGTGGGCTTTTCAATTCTTGCCCATATGCATAGCCACATAGCCATATGCTACGTGAAAGGCGGAGTTCTATGGTGTTTCTGCCCGAATAGAATTTACTCTGAAACAAAGATATTTATTGTACTGAAACTATGAAGAAATTCTTTTAACGAGAGTATGGTCATCATTCTAGGGCGTACCGGTTCAAAGCTACATGCAGTTTGAAATTAGGAAACAGAAGTTTCACATTTCAAAAACATGATTTTGCATCGTCGCTTTACCAAAAATGTTATTTCCTGTAAATACTTCAGATATTGTGATAAATATTTGCAGGAGTATACATATTAGTTGTGGAACCACAATACATAAAAATTGGAAAAGTCGTTCTTTTCTCAAAAATTGGTAAGCCTAAATTTCAAATGTTTTTGAAAAAAATAATTTTTTAATGTAAGGTTTCTGGTTTTAGAAACTAATTCTACAGTGAAACCCGTTTAGAACGAACCCACATACAGCAAATTATTGTCAATATCGAACTCGCTGAAAGTTTAAATAAAAACGCATGTAAAAAGCACTTTTTATAATGAACAACATATTGGCTATGTCAAACTTTTCACCCCAGGAGGGCTTCCAAAAAAGTGCAAACAATCATCTTCTAGCCTGTCCCTTCCCCTCCCCCAAAAAAAGAAAGTGGGAAAGAAAGAAAATTCCAAAAGCTTAAGGTGCGAAAAAAAATTTAGCAAAGAGAAGCGATTCAGAAAGCGATAATCTAAAAAAAAAGACTATGCACGCATGCAAAAAACAAAAAAACCTTTTTAGCGCGTTGTTACGCGGCGGAAGCTAAGAGATGAGAAAGGATGAGAAGCTCTCGCCTTACAACGAATGTATCATGGAAGTTTGTTGTAAATCGTGTTTGCTATATTGTCACGAATGACAATTGATGAGGCGATAAAGACTGGAGAAACTGAACGTTTAATGGGGCGAACTTGTGCCCAAAAATAAACAGGGAACAGATGAAAGCGGAGCATCGCTGGCGTCGAAGTCGGCGTGACAGCAGAGTGGAACGCTGGGGCAAAACTGACCGCGGCTCGCCATGCGGAGCCCCTTATGTACGTGCGTGAGCTTCTGGAATAGTCGGCATAGAATGTTCCACGCGTAGGACATTCGAACCTCGAACAAGCAACACGATTCTCAAATTTACCAGAAAACTGTAGTGCAGGAATAACAAAAGATGCGTCGCTCCCAGGAATCGAACTCTGGTTTTTTGCGTGGGAGGCAGGCACGATAACCATTAGGCCATGCGCGTGCTGCCTACTGGCCAGCTGCGCGCGCGGCAATATCGAATTACTTGCTATATCGAACTGATCGTAGCTTTTCCTGCTGTTCGTTATAAACCAGTTTGACTGTACACCCTTACACTAATAACCATTCGCCAAATATTTACGTTGATATAAAATATTTGACACATTATGAGGCAGTAACAAAGTAAAGGAGTTCAATGTTTTAATGCATTTTTCTCAGTTCCACTTTCATATGAAGGAATATTTTGTTTGAAGGTAAAAGTATTCCGGTACCACAGTCAAGACGTTTCTGAACTGAAATCCACTGGGGAATCGGGCTATCTACTTTATTTCGTTTTAAATTGGAGTCCTCATTGAGAAAAAACTGTTTTCAAAAATTGACATAGGACAGAGATGCATCTCATATTTTGAGGTAACAACTCTTCCTGAAATATTTACACATTTCATTTATAAAAACTAGAAAGCCGAAAGTCCCACATCCCCTACTTTGTATTCTAGTAGTCAAAATGGTGCTTAATAATTCACTTGCATGTCATAGATTTCTTAATGAAGAGTAACACATCTTATGCAGGCATGTAAATTTCCCCCCCGAGAGCCAGTGACCAAGGCGCCCTGTGCGTGAACACTATTGGCCCTCTCCTCCCCCTCTTCTACTCTTACAACGCTTACACACACACACACACTCCTAGAGCTAAAAGTGCACAATACACATACATCTGATGTTAAATCTCCCCTGCATTCCAATCACTTGAATAATTCAGAAGTTATATCTCTAGCCAGTGTCCCCCCTTAACACAAACGTGACATTCATATTTTTCGCAGGAAACACAAATGGCAGATTTTTACCACTTGTTTGAGGCTCCCCCTTGCGAGAGCACATTATGCCAAACAAGGATATGTTTAAGAGAAAAATATCAACAACAGGCTATCACCCATTCACACAATGTCACTTACTGTACTCTACCTCGACACACCCAGCCTCACCAATCATACAGGCAATCATCTTTTTTATTTCAACGACGACAAAAGCATGTATCTTTTCTTCCGTCTGCAGGACCCCAAGGTACTACGTCTGTGCAATCCACCAGTCTCTCAGACGATCTCACTCCTTGATCGTGCCATGAACTACCTTCCTGAAGACAGCCACGACCAAGAGATAGCCATCTCACTTTCAGAGGTTGTGCACAAGATGGCGTCGTCGCAGCCCAACAGTCTGCACAACACGTGATGTGGTAGACCGCTCGACCTTTTAAGTCGCATGACCCCAGTGAGAAGTGCTCCGCTGTTCCAGCTCAGCCCTTCAGCCGCTGTTCGTCGTCTTCTTCTGCGGGACAAAGAGGTTCGAAAAGTGTTCAAGGTATTTGCAGGTGCTGATGAAGTGCAGAAAACTGGACTTAAAACAGAGTGCACAAAAACACGAGGGCAAAAGGAAGGCACGTACCACGGATGGGTGTCTGTCTTCCTTTGGTCCCCATTGTTTTGTGCACACTGTTCTTAGTGGGGCTGAAGAAGTGTTGTGCCATTAGTCATCAACTGCACTGCACAACTCTTCTTTTTATTTGTCATAGGTGAGAGGGTCTGTTGTGGTCTTCAAAAATTGTGTCCGCATGCTGGGACTCGGCGAGATGGCCACATTTTTAAAGTTGCTCATATCGAGCAGGGTAAATTGTACAATTACATTAGGCAATATGGATGCCTAACTGTGAATCACTTAGCGAACATCTCCTTAGCTTTGCTGAGATTACGTCATTACGTCTGTGCCAGAGATTATTTAGGATGATTAAAATATATGACAATGCACAACCTTCTTTTTTTAAAAAAAATACTTTAAAATTACTTCTAAAAAAAGAAAAAGTGACATGCTCAAATGAGTAGTGGTTACATGGAAGGTCGCCATGGTAACGCCGCAGTGGCATTACCTCTGCGGCATGCAATGTAGCAGGTCCGATGTCTGTAGCAGAGGAGTACATGCGCATCGCCGCACCGAACATTGAACCGAGCAGCAGCTAGCGCCGCTTAGCCAACAGGGAGAACAATTGTTTGATGCACTGGAAATTATTTTCTGCATCGATACCTTCAAGAACCCAGATGACATTTTCAGAGCGAGGGAACAGCACCACTGAATGAGAGTGTGGTGTGTCTGCAATCTGTGATGTCAATCGCTCGTCTATTGAATCGGTCGTCTATTAATGCCCAGCCTCCAGCACAGAATTGCTGCCTTCTGACATGTTTCAGCTGTATGTGCACACTCTCAAAGCTCGTAAGACTCCTGCGAGACACCCCGATGAAATGCGATTAATGCAAAGGCACCAGTCACTTACTGAGGCACCCTACTGTTCTTATCCCGAAAGCGCCTCTTTCTGTCGCACAAGTTGGTGATGAGTGCTCGCAACTTCCCTTTAAATAAAAGTTCTAGTAAATTTGTAAGTAGGGTACAGGCACCGGAGGTAGACATAAAAGAAATGCGCCTAAAGTCTTTTATTTGCCCTTTATTTCTACTGCAGAATCAATTGCTTAAGGGGAGAAACTGCCCAGAAAAAAAATTTTCTACAAAAAAAGTTGATTTTGAAAAATGACATATTTACATCCACCAACATCTAAAGAGTATTCCCAGAAAGTTTCATTAGTTTACAGTGTATAGTTAATTTTTTATAAATTATTTTCTCTCCCCCAAAGCTAAAGAAAAGGTAGGGTTTGGAGTACTTTGAACACATTTTCTCTGTTCCACTTTTTGGTATAAATTCCATTTTAGTCAATCTATCGTTTGATAATGGAAAAACAGGGAAGGCTCATTCTTCCCTTTTCCTGACTGAAATTTAATAAGGAATGCAGCTATGGAACTTTTTTGTCACTTTACGGATGTCTTTTATAAAAAATGTTGATATTTTGTCGAAGACACAGAAGACCAAAAAGTTGACCAATTTTGCAGAAGAGAAAATTTATAGAAATAAATTTTTAGAAAAAACATTCCATAGCCGCACCCTCTAGGCATTCTGCTACATATCTAGCAAATAAAAATTTTGCATATCGTGATAGTATTTTGACGATAGATTAACTAAACAATGTAGGCGTGCTGCTGATAGAAGCTACTCTAATTTCCTTCTTATTCAACCAACAGATCTGAAATTTTGTTATACACCCTCTAGCATGACCACCAGCCTACCCTGTAAATTTCATTAATTTTAAGACAAGGGTTCAAAAGTTGACCCCCCTAGGAGGTGTGTCCCCTTAAGAAGAATGCAGCAGACATATATAAACAGAAGCAAAGTGGCACAGTCAATGAAAACATGAGCCTGATTTAGGCGGACGAAGAGATGGGCTGGCCTTTAAACTCACCCACAAAGGCTGCTCCTTTGTCAAACTTGAGCTGAAGTTGCTGGTACACTTGGTCACACCTGGCACACAGTTGGCCCTCGGTCTCCGAGATGTTGCGTCGGCACCGGTCGCAAGCCCAATTCTTGGTTGGCGTTAACGCCGCATACACGCCCTCTCCTGCAAACACAATTTTTGAGCGACGAATTGGAGCACGCTGCTAGAATAAACATAAAGCATCGACAATTGAGAGCCCTTCCACCTCGCACTGGCACTCTGGTGGAATTTGCTATGTTGGGCTGGGAGCAGCGGCAACGGCGGTTTCACGTTGGCGGCATGCCCATTCTCACTTCTGGGCATGCCGATGTTCCTCGTAATTCCGCTGCTCCTCTTCAGAACATACAACACGGGTGCGACCCATGTGAAGTCTGAAGTCCAGCAGTGGCACAATCTTTGGCAGGTGGCCACCAAACAGCGCGTGGCATTGCGCAATGTCGGGGGAGAGAGACGCCGCGCGTGGTGAAGGCACATGCGTGCGGCGCCGGTGTTTGGAGCAGTAACTGTTCTAAAGCAAAAGCCTAAAACAAATGGCATCTCGCATGTGCATTCATCAATGCTTTATTTTGGTTATTTACTTCAAATCTTTTATACGGGGAAGGTGTTGCACGTGTAACACCAATCCCTGCATTCTCCTTGATGCCTGGATAATTTACCGAACCATATTGAACATACCCGATGCGAAGGGCACAAAGATTTTGTGTCGTTCGTCTTAGGTTTTTTCCAGCATGAGCTCGTATCACCAGCTCACCTGCAACGATTCTTATTTTAATGACAGCTTAGCAGCTCTGGGAACATTTGGGGAAACTGTTGATGCACGATGTACGTAGCCAAGTCTCGCAATTTCTTACTGCCTCGCATGCAGAAGTTTGACGCAAAGCGTGCGGCTGCCACTGAACACTGCCACATATTTGTTGTAAAGGTGTCCACGGAGCGTTATGTCGGTCCACCCGCCTAAAAATATTGCAACTTATCGCCGTGGACGGGAATTGCGGTCACCACTCTGAAACTGCAAACCTAGGTCTTAGTACGGATTAGAGTCTCAACTCCATGAAGGCACACTGATAGGAAACTCTACTAAAGGTAGAGTCAATGACTGTTGCCAACTCAAATTCTCTACCCTCCAAATGAGACTTACCTTCATCCACCACAGTTGTTTCACTCTCGTATTTTTTGGACAACTGCGCGTCATCTATGAACGTCACGGAGGCCACCTGAAGCACGTCCGTCAAGCCTGAATGAACAGCTGTGGTTTCCGGTTGCAGCACCTGTCGGCAGTAGAGAATGCATAATGCCCAAATGCATTATATAATGAGTCAACACTTAGGGTACATTCATTAAATTGTGCTGAAGGTCAACATCATATACTGTCTAAATATTAATTTTTAGTGCCACAAACAATTTCCTTATTAGAGCCACATAACAAGTGAACAATTTTTTCTCTTTTTCATAGGTATATAGGTACTAACCTTGAAACAGTTCACCGATTTAAAGTTAAAGAAAGGCAAAGAAAAGTAATCCAGAATGGATACTCTATTCTCCCAGTTGGGTGCCGAAGTCGAGAAAAAAAGCAGTTTATGTTGTGTAACTTACGGGAAAGTTTGATGTGCAAACAAACTGTTCGCTGTTTCAAACAATGAGCGGGTTGGTTGTACGACACACATTTTGGAAGGGAATAAACGAGAGCCATATCTGCTCGTCCATTTACATTCTCTTCCCAAATGTATGGTATGTATCTGGATTTAGTAACCACATTATTTATGTAAAAGAGATTTGGTCCAACCTTGTTGGCACATAATTCTTCATTGTCACCCCAAACTGCTCAGTGTCCTTATGCAGAAACTCTAAGAGCAAGAACAGAGACGTATAAGATGGAGATTAATACCAAGGTAGAAAACATGGAGCCAAAGATGCTTCATTGCGATGCTACCAGGCCTCTTAAAATGATAAAAGCATTTAACGAGTACTGCCAATATTACCGTGAGCAAATTCAAACTGTCCTTTTACACTGTGTCAGCATTCTTCCATGCATAGAATTGAAGAGTCCCGTATGTTTCGAGAGAACACAAAATCAAGCGACACCGAGGAGTAATCGAACATGAATCGCGCACGAATTGCCATTTGCTACTTTGTAGAAAAAATAAAGCTCACGTGCCAGCATCCTTTCGTATTGGCGACGCGTGCGACCAGATGCGTCACCGTGGCTGACCCTCTACAGTTGGCCAAACGCTCGCTACGATGTCTAGAGTACAATTGTTTCTGCTGCTGTCGTCGGCAGAAATTAGAGCTACGTCAAACTTTCAACTCCGGCGAGTTGAACAATGCTGTCGAATCCGTCACTCGCCACCGATCGTACAGACCGCGACATCGGAGACGTGAACCGCAAGAGGGCACCACCGAAACATCTTGTCACCGGTATAATCCAGTAATGCAAGACCTCCGCAGAATACGTCGACCGTCGAAAACCGCTGGAATGGCGAGGTCTAGTGTTCGACTTTGCCCGCCAGAGGCGCGACGGTGGCTGCCGCCATCGTCGTCGTCGGTGCACTTTTGGAGCGCCGTCGCGACTCACCCGTAACGAATCCACGAATTGGCAGCCTCGTTGCGAGATGATGTTGAGATCGTACGACTTGGGACCACCCTTGGAGGCGGCCTTGTTGACAACATTCCTCAGTTGGAACAGGGGACCCTCGAGCGCCTCGAACTCTGCACGATTCCATTCGCTCGGCGGAGGATGCCATGACCGGCGGAAGACGCCGGTTTCGACTGTTCAAGACAGAGCAGAGGATTAACCTCGCTAGAGTCAATTTGCACAGTCAAAATCTAGGCTCCACTGCAAAGACGCAAAAAGGAAATGCGCCGAAATAAGCAACCAAGCATTTTCGATGTGTGCGAACGTTCTGTACCTGAAAATATTGACTAGAAATAGTAGATGTGTATGAATACTAGAAACATTAAAATATCAATTAGAAGTAGAGGTGTCTAAATATCCTAAACATTAAAAAGATTGGTTCGAAATATACCGTAAAATACCGCAGAAACGCCCATTTCGTTCAAGAGCCCACTGTTAACATGTTTCAAACTTTGGAATTCTGCAAATTATACGTTAAGTGCCCTATTTAACCAGACAAGCACCCGTGTTTAGATTAGCCCAATTTTCGGTCAAAGTAGGGTGGCCGCTCTTCTGGTATTTTACGGTATGTATATAAATATTCGAAACAATAAAATATCAATCAAAACAATGGTGCGTCCAATTTGACCCTCGATTCAAGTAGTGCGAAGTACACGAGTTCTGCGGCCCCACTGCGGTAGTGCGTACAAGGCTACGAGCCAATGTTGTTTCCAGGTGGCTTGCATCTTGAGTCTCCTTTGAAATGCAAATGTAGCATCCCTTCTGCACTAAGTCAAACAACTGCAACGTGGGTTCTAGTTGCAGTATTAAAACACACTTCGTTGGTTTAGGAGTAACTAGAGCTACTAAAGATTACTGTTCTGAAACAATGTAAAGTAACCTTTCGTTCATAGATACTGCCATCCACATCACTGCTGGTGGTATACAAAGGTTGATCGACCGATTTATTGGAGTTTTGTGGCACAGCAGCAGCTGTGGCAACACGTAAAGTGCCGAGCACTAATTATCGCACATGTGGGTTGGGGAAGTGGTATAATTTCTATCTGTTTTGTTGGACTGTGATGTTGCCAGTACCCTTCGGATATTCAAAGTTGATACGAGCTTCATTGGAGTGGTCAGTTCAATGCAATCCATACTTAATGACAACACTCTGTGGCATTTCAAAAGTGAAAAATGCACGGGCACAACTTCGTTCGATGCTCATGATGCGTAAGCACGCAAGCACTCTTGGCTTTGACTGCATAGTCTCGGAACACAGCTACGAGTACATCTAAAAATTTAGTTCGGTCCCCCTTTTACGAATCTTGTGCGGAGTGCAAGTCGTCTGCTTCTTGCGCAGGAGTTGGAGACGCAGAGCTCCGATTGGCTTTGGTTGAAAGGATAGTGGGTAGACCGCAATGGTAGACGCCTTCAGGTCTGCCCACTATCCTTCAATCAGAGCTCGCCGTCTTTCTGACATCACCACAACCCCTGCAAAAGAAGCAGACAAATTTGCGCTCCACATAGTAATAACCATTCAAAACATGGGGTGCTGGTGCTCCCTCGACCGAGGCATGTGAAGAAACAAGAAAAATACTCCGGGAGAAAACCTGCTCGTAGAACTGAGAACCCGTGCCCAGGAAACACTCGCAGACACGCATATTAGCCAAAATATAAATACCTTAGCCGTAAAACAAAACTGGGAACCCGCACTCAAGGGTATGATAGCAGAGATGAAACGTACATCGGGCGGGACTGGCATGGTGGTAATAGACTTCTTCGGACAGGTGCGGCAGTATTGGCGCCACCGAGAACACCAGCGAGTCCAGGACGTGGCTCAGCGCGGTCTGGCACGACCGGCGTGCCACCGATGTTTCAGCGTCGCAATACAGCCTGAAAGGCATTGTAAAACAAATTTTAAATGAATTATAACGTACCCTGCAGTGCTTTGGCAGAGTGTAGGATGACCATCTCCGACAAAGGACAACTTGCTACGCAATACAAGGCTGGTTTACACACTTGCAAATGCTTACGACCTCTCGCAATCTCTTGCGAGAGAACATATTTCGGGGTGCTAATTCATTATATTGTTTTGCATTGTCTCCCATGCCAGCTATCCCAAGATTTGTGGCAGGGTGGGCACAAAAACAAACTTGGCGAATAAGCCTCAGAGGAGAAACAACTAACGGGTATTGTTCAAAAGTGGATTACCTGTCCTTAATGGCCGAAAAGTAAAACGAGGAAGCTTCATTGACGACGAAGTTCAGGATGGCCGCACAGGCATGGTTGTAACGCATGTCCTCCAAACATTTGGTCACCTATTAAAAAAGACAACTTTAGAAGGTAGTCAAGACCATTATATGTTATTTCCATAAAAGCTTCTGCTTAGCAAACCCTTCTGCGGTGTAGGTGCAGCATGGCTAGGGTTGCTGCCTGCTCAGTTTTTGACCGGCACGGCCAATTTCTTTGGATAAAGGGTTGGTTACCGGTCTGTATCTAAAATCGGCTTTCCCAGCTATCCAAGCGCAATTTTTTTCTTTTATTTGGGGGGAAAGGGGGGGTTATAAATATATTCTAGACCATCATCGTTATCGGGCTGTAGGACTATTCGTCGAGAGACAATTCGTATCAGGGCAACTCGTAGCAGGGCATTTCGTCGCATAGGGAAATTAGTCGTAGGGCAATCCGTAATAGGGAAATTCGTCCAGATGACGATTTGTCACCCTATTAAAAGCTTCTTATGCGCTCAATTTTCACAGTTTATCGAGTATACTGCTTCAAAATTATTATTTACAAACAAAGATTCTCCCTCATTTGGTATTTTGATTTGTAGCATAATGTTTAAAATTTGGCTTAAATGCTCTACTTTTGCAGTAGACGCTGTCTACTTCTGTGGGTTTACACCACAACCGAGTTATAAACGTTTCAGTAATTTTGATAGGACAACCACACAGGTGGCAGTTCACGAAAAGGGTTTTATTTGCATTAGAAACTCTGCATATACATCTCCGTTTACAAGGTTATGCTTCTGACGCAAGCCTCGAGGATGTTCCTGTTGTCTGTGGCTATTCGTGACTTTAAAATAACTCACAAATAACCACAACATGACTGGTTATTTGTGACTTTAACAATGCGAAGCTTAGAGACGTCAGTCATGATCTTTGCTTGGCAGGTCTCTCTTCTTCGACACACCCCTTCGACACACCCAGTGGATGCTTTGCTCAGTTCAGACCTTTGGATAACAGTATATAAAAATCCTTTGCAAACCAGCATCTCCCCGCCTGTTTTCAGTCCTGATAACTTCCATAGCTACTGCCGAAATAAACGCTTGGACCAGTTATTTTACTGCACTTGCCTAAAAACTTCCATACCGACTGCCAAAATAAACGCTTAGATCAGTTATTTTACTGCACTTGGCTGGTGTACGAACGTGCCCTCAAAACTAAAAGGATGTGGATGACAAAGAGGTTTTATAAACTTTATCTTGAAAGTTTGTTCTGGACTTTCCAGAAAAAAGATAAGCGAAATCTAAATAAAAAAGAAGTACTAACAAAGATATAACAAAAAAGTTGCATGCTTGCTGAACCACTCAAACTGTTGGCCTTGAGTGATAAGATCGGCCCTGCGAACACAGTTTCTCGTGCACTGTATATAGGGGTGTGCAAATAGTGATTTTTGAAACCGAATCGAATAATTGTGGGACCGAATACGAATACAAATTGAATAATTTTCAAATAGTTTCCGAACAGTAAGTAGAGAGATTCTAAAATGATTTTTATTGTTCCAAAACGTTTCTTAAAATTATTGTAAAATCGCAGCTAGACAATAATAACTAGAGTTCAACTATATATATTTAAATAAAGACAAAAGCTAATAAAATATTAGAATGCTAAACATAATATCACGGTTCACGCGGATGCTGAACATAAAATCGCAGCTCGCTTGAGCCTGGTAGATCCTGAAGCATTGTCCTTGATAGGAACTCGACATTATCTTTTTATTCCTTTTTGTAGCAGATGTCCTTGAATTGAGGATCAAGGAATGTGTAAGGGCATGATGTTCCTGTGCGCTTACGTCCAGGAACCTTATTTTCACTGATCTGAGAAGATTCTGGGAAAACGCATTGTCTTGATCTACTTTCGCCCTCAAAAAGCAAATCTTCACACACTGAACAAGTGGAAACACCATGGAAAGTGTTGGGAAAGACTCGACACAAGCAGCTGTTGTGGCTTATTCAATTGATTGCAAGGGAGTGGCCGAAAAACTTCCCCACTCTAGTGCACAATCTCTTCGAACAACTTCCTGCTTCTACCACTTCTACTTTGCTTACACAGAACGGCGGTACCATTGCAACCAGTTTTGAAACGTCTCCAACACATGCTTTCCGAAAGAGTGCATGAGCAATCTCGTGCGAAAATTGTTCCTAAATGCTGAACCACATGTAAGCGATTTAGCGAGCGACAAGACAAGCGACAGCAACGACGAGGTTCAGCAGCGAGCGACAGATTTCTCACTGTCGCTCGTCGCGTCGCTCGGTGTTTGGATTTCTAGAAAACGTCCTCATCGCTTTGGTCACTTGCTCACGCCACTTTCATGCGGCTCGCCTCATCGCGCGACTGATCGAACGACAGCAAAGCGGGTTGACGTCTACATGTGTGTTATACCTAACACAGTGGTCCCTAATGGAGGCAACAGCAACGTACGTACGGAGAGGGACGGCTGCTGCCGATGATGACAATCATTGTTTAGGAGAAGAGGGTATGTATTGCCATCTTGCGGGCACATATTGCAAGCGTGCCGGCGCGTTGTGGGACGCCTGTGAAGGGAATCTCTGGGCGCGATACCGTAACGACTATTCGGAACTTATTCGAAAAATATTCAAAACTTTTGAGAAATATTATTTTATTCGATTAACGAATCGAATAGGGTAATATTCGATTCGTTATTCGAAAATGACGAATATTTGCACACCCCTAACTGTATATAAGCCGGACAAAGGATCATGAACTATCCAAACAGGATACAGCACAGCATGCATGTTTAGAAGAACAGCCTCCGACGTTTCCGAAACTCCAAAAGAATGCGGACAACAAGGCGGTGTTCAAACTTTTCTTGGAAGGCTTCTGAACTCCATATTTTATACATACACCTTCCATCCCCTCCCCCTTTCCCAAATCCCTCTAAACTTTCCTAAAAAAAAGTAAGTCCAGTTTTCGGCTAGATTCTCTAGCGACGAATAGCCCTATGACGAACTGCCCTACGCGACCAATTGCCCTGCTACGAATTGCCCTGTTACGAATCGTATTTCGAGGACTGGTCTGTAGCCCCCCGTTATCGGGTGTATAGGCATATGCATTGTCTATTTTTAAGCTATTTTTCTGTATAATGTCCTGGTTCCTGAAACTGTTTACTTAGCCGCAACAAAGACATCCTTTTCATAAAAATCTGACGCATTTACTATTCAGGTTAGCACGTAGAGAGTCTGCGATTTACTGAAGGAGATCAGAGGAATAATTAAGTGTGCCTCAATCTTTTTTTTTCTTCAAATTCGGAAGGGTTTAGGGGGGTTTAGCTTGTTCTGTTTCTCTCACTGTTGATAGAAGCGACCCGGAATTTATATTGGGGGTTTATCGGTATATTCCGAAAACATAGAGTCCTACTTAGCACAAGTTATTAGCTTGCAGGCACAATCATTTAGTTGCATAAAGCTTTGCCAGTGGAAGTTCGCAACAAACATACAGTTCTGAAATGTGACCACTTTCATTTAAGTCCAGGCCATGAAACTCTAGCCATACTACTGTGCTTTGTCACAAGTTGTTTTAGCAAGCAGGTGAAAAAAGTGCTCGATCTGCCTTTTCTTGGGCGAGACCCGCGAGAGGCAGTGACAACCAACTATACTGATCCAATGCAACAGTGTACAGTCGCCATGACAACGTGGCTTCAGCACATCTAACAGGTACAGACCTAAGTCGGTCGAAAAACAGTTTCCTGCGAGTGACCCAAAAAAGGTAGAGGAAGGTATGTTGCAGGCCCGCCGACATTGAAGGAAAAGGCAGCACGACCCACCCGAAAATGAAACCGATGCAGCAAATGCAGCATCAGCTGGTCGACAGGGAGGAGCTGGTCGTAGGAGAGGGCGTCTCTTCTATCGTCGAAGTGCAGCAGACCTCCCAGGCAAAACCTCAGGGTGTTCCTCAACTGAAAGTCAAAATGATGCTGTCAGCTTACCCCTTTCATCACACTGTTTTAGCTTCCCTAAGTACAGTAGGCTCGCGATAATTCAAACTCGGATATTCTGTGCACCTGGTTAATGCCAACAAATTTTAAAGTTTTGGTTGTCCCGCCATGTTCTCATGTTCTCAATGTATTTAAAAGCCGCTTAACTCGAACGGTGTTTTTGTGTAATTCACGCTTCTTGTTCTCGCGGCGCCATTGAGAGCGCTTCTTACCGAGCATCGGCGCACTGCGAATAAGCAACTCTTGCGGAGCTCGCTTCCACGGGTGTCGTTACTTTGCAATGCACCAGTGCTCGGCAAGAAGTCTAGCCAATGGGGGTAATAGTCCACAAAGGACAACCTTTTTGCTAGATGAACAAACTTAATTTTGTTTCGAGGTGTCACACTGTCTAACAGTCCACGATAGAAAACATTTTTGTCTATCACAGACATCTCGCATATTTTACGAATGTCTCAAGTGTGGCCTACCTGCTTGCGATTAGTAGGCCTGTGTAGAGCAAATCATGAAGTATCTACTTTGTATGTGAGCCATCCATATAACAAATCACAATTTTATCTTGCATCATACAGTCAAATCTCGTTAATTCCAACTCAAGGGTGACAGAAAATTAGTTTGAATAAAGCAAAGTTTGAATTACTGGGAGTTTCCTCCCATAGAGACACATAGGATGGCACCTGCATGTTAGTTTGAATTATCCACAAGTTTGAATTAAGAGAGTTTGAATTATTGAGATTCGACTGTATTTAGACAAATTCCTGATAAATCAAATTTCTGAAAATTCAAACAAAATTCGTGGCTTCCTGGAGTTTGAATTCATCAGAGCCTACCGTAAATGGATTGATAAGGGGAGTTGATGCCCCAGTAGCGATCTATAAACTCGCACACGACTCGCATTCCCTCGTTCCAAACACGGTGGTCAGGCTGCAATTCGAGACGTTAGTTCAAAATTTGAATACTCGGACAGATTAGCACCGTGGTATCTGGTACTCCGACCGGCATGTCTGCCGTCCTATAGCACTCGTGCATCCAACGAAAATGTTTCATCATGGCGACAAACGACGTCACGGGAACCAGGGTGTCGTACGGTTAGATGCAACGATTCTGGCAGTCGATCATAGAAGTTATGGTGAAAACAATGGCGGTGTTGCCGTCGTCGTGGTGTACGGCAAAAGCGGTTTCGTACACATTAATCAAAAAGAAGTAATCGACTATGATTACTCTCAACTGAAAAGCGTTTAAGGGGGGACACTACCCAGAAAAAGAATTTCTGCAAAAAAAGGTTGATTTTGAAAAATGCCATATTCACATCCACCAACATCTAGAGAGTACAGTGTAGACCGCATATAACGTATGTCGCGGGAGTCGCGAAAATCCGCACTATAAGCGGTACCGCGCTATAACCAAAACATCAATTTTTCAGGCCAAAATACATGCCATGAGACAACTTACCTTTGTAAAAGAATTTATTTTATGTTAGATGAAAAATAAAGCTTAGTTTGAGGAAAGCCTTTATTTCACCGGACTAGTACGGTTCTGTCTCAAGTGTGTCACACATTTTGAAAGAAATGAGCGGCTTTTGCCTGGCGTAGCCTTGTAACGGCGTCGCGGGTTGCGGACGGACGTTGCAAGCGTTCAGGATTGCTAACCCTAATCACTTTTCTCCGGAGATGAAAACGCGTGAAAATTCGCATCCTTCATACGGTACGCGCCAGTAATACCTTGAACTTGAGCACACGCATGAAATGCGCCAAATAAGAAATCCGGGCGATGTTCGAGGACACAAATGCTTAGAAATCACCACTGTAGTCGAAGTAAACAAACACGACAACACGGGCGTTTTTGCCGTCTTGAGAGCGCCGCCACGACATCGCCGCACGTGCAGGTGGATTTTCCCTTCTAGTACGTGCTGGGTTATCATAGCGAGACACAACGAAAATTCAAAGTCAAGGATAGCGCTTTTACGCGGAACGATGAGATGAACGTCATCTACGACGACGATCACGACCGACGCCATGTTTGCGGATAGAAGCAGCCGACCCGCGACCAGCATGCAACGCGCGCGAACACTTCTCCTCGACCTGCGATTGGTCTGTCGATGCGGTTGTTTGTTTCCAACACAGCGGAGGCAGCGGAGGGACGCACGCACGTGAACACCACGCGAGTGCGTCCCTCCGTCGCTATGGCAACGGAAGCCTCTCTCTTCGCTTCTCCCCGCTAGTTCGATCGAGCAACCTCCTTGCCCCGCGAGTGCGGCTTGCTTGCGGCTCGCGCCGTCAGCGCCGTTATCTAGTGTCGCACAGGGAAGCGTGCTCGCTGCTCCGGTCGTCGGCGCGGTCGGCAGCTGTGCCAGAAACCGCGCTATAACCGGTAATACCCTTCGCGCGCCTGCATTTTAAGCGGTATGTAATTACATGGAGTTCTATGGGAGGCGAACCGGTGGTTTAAAAAAGCCGCGTTATACCCGGTCCTGCACTATAAGCGGTTACGTTGTAAGTGGTCTATACTGTATTCCCAGGAAGTTTCATTAGTTTACACTGTATAGTTAATTTTTTATAAATTATTTTCGGTCCACCGATGCTGAAGGAAAGATAGAGGTTGGAGCATTTTGAACACATTTTTCTCCATTCCACTTTTAGGGGCAAAGCTCCTTAGGGGCTAGCCATGTTCGTATGTCCGTCCGCCATTGGGTGCACATGCTCCTGCTCGTGAGCTCACGTGCTCCCATGCTCGTGTAGAGCAAAAAAAAAAAAACAACCGCATATCCACGTGGTGACTGATGTTGATTGGGGCGAAGCTCTGGTGGTCCTCGTCTGCGTAGACGGTGAGCCGCAGCAAGCCGAGCCTTTCGTTCCTTTTCATCCATGTCAAAAAGAGAATGCGTGGTATGGAACGTGGTTTACGCATTTGAGCATTTGACCGCAGCGTGACATGGATGAAAACGAACGAAAGGCTCGGCATGCTCCGGCTCAGCGTCTAAGCAGACAAGCACCACCAGAGCTTCGCCCCAATCAACATCATTCACCAGGTGGAGATGCGGTTGTCTTTTTTTTGGCATAAATTTCACTTTAGGAAAACTATAGTTTTGTTATTACATAACTTGGATTCATTTTTATGAGTTTTTTCGGGCTGAAATTTTAAGGGGAAGGTAACTATGAGCTTGTATTTTTTTATTTTTATCATTTTTCATGCTCAAGAACTAAAATTTTGGACAAAGAATGGAAATCTAAAAAACAGTATTTGTGTTTATGTGGTTTTTTGTCATGAAAGACGGCATAATATAGAAATATAGCTCCATAGTTATCTGCTCTGAACTGTCCTAAAGCAAGATAACATATGAAAACAACAAATTTGTAAGTAATTTCAAAATGATAGTTTTCCTATGCACACACGCCCACTTTTATCTTTGAACATTTGCAATTTTTTGTGTACTTCACCCAGGTTAACAAAGCTTGGCAGAAATATTCTCAACATCAACAGAAACAAGCCCTGTAAATGGCACTTAAATCAGACAAATGGTTTAAACATTCAATTTTTCGGGTAGTGTCCCCCTTAATTAGATTACATGAGAGGAAAAGTAATTGGCCGTTACTTAAAGGTAACTGTTACTTTTCCGATTACTACAGCAAATTCTCAAAACAAGATTTTTCGGTCAGTCTACTGGTCTTTCTCACCGTCTGCTATTGGCTTAGAAACATCGAGTTAATTCGCCAATTTTGATAAACCACCCTCCTGTCTGAGACTCGGTTCGAGGATTTCTTTTATAGGAAATTCGTACAAAGGGCACCATTAGAAAGGAGAGGAAAAAATAGTAATGTTTACAAGTAATTTTAGAAGTTCCAAAAGTAACCGGATTAATCCTGCGATTACTGCACCTAATAAATTTACTCAAATGATTGCAAATTTTTCTTAGAAAAGTAATAGATTACATGTAATTTGATTACTTGTAACGAGCACCGTACAAGTCTGGGCAGAAGCCATGGCAAAAATGGCGTCTGCTGCATCCGCCTTCGCTGTCGCGCCACCGGCAGGATCGCGACAGGCAATCCTGCTGGCACTGGTTGGAAATCGGGAGCACATTCCAAAGGTTCACGCGCCACACACGATGTGTAGCTACGCTTTCACGCCTCACCTTGGTGACGTTCTCTCGACACTCTGCGATGACGTGCGTAGAGATGGCCACATTGTCATTGCTGCTGGCGTGCATTGCGACCCACCACCGAAGCACATCAACACCGTATGCAGGTTCCTTGTCAAGATTCTGAAAATCATGTTTTTATTATTCGACGGCTCTTCAGTGCCTCCACTTCTAAAGATCATAAGCATTTATTTATAGAAAACAATATATGCCATTATGCCACGTCTCAGACCCTCGGGCATAGTACTTTCACGCCGTTCTGTCCGGAGACAAAAATACTTGTTTTGAGAAGGAAGGCTCTCGGAAATTCGTGGTTGTATTTTGACCCGTCCAATCAAACCTTCATATGCAGAATTGTGTTTTGGAAAAGATGCAGTGGATTTAAACTCCAATCTCAGCCATCCAGGCATGTGACACCATGTCAGTGTTGCCACGTCCTCCCTTAATACCTTTTTTTTTTCTTTTTTCTTTTTTAGTTTTTACAGTTGGCAAATTTTTTTTTAAAAGACTCGGAATCGTCCCTGCTGCCTCTTTAATTATCTTCTTTTTTTTTTCTTTTTTCCTTTCACAGCTGCATTGTGTGGCCAGCAGAGCTCGCAGTGCAGGTGTTTGGCAGCTGGCCAACTCTCTTCTAGGCTAGGTCAAAGTTAGCTTCAGTAAGAATGCAATTCTGCACTAAAAGGCCAGAAACTGAAGTCACTAAGTAGCCAAGACATGACTTTCTTTCAGACCCCTCTATAAAGCCATCACATCATCTATTTGTTTATTTTCATCATTTGACGCTTCTGTATGTGCCATGTGCCAGCATTCTGTCACACAGAGCTTAATAGTTTTGAGATGGCTTCGAGAAAAGACTGCATTTTGGATCGGTGCTAGAAAACTCTGATGATGCCTTCTTGGTTTGCTACAGATTGTTTCAGCAAGCAGAGAGACAGAAAGTGCCTCCCCCGCTTTTCGTTAACCAAGTCGGTGAAAGCAAATAAAAACTAGCAATACTAATTCGACACAATAATCTGGCCACTACTATATTAAAAAACAAACAATACAAAAAAACACAGACAAAGAGGAGACAAACGTACCAAAGCACTTTTTTTGCACCGTTGATTTTTAATAATGGTCTACTAGCTACCCCCAATCATGAAGACTTGTCAACGATGCATCCTCAGTATTAGCTGTAGCTTATCTAGGGGATTTATTAATGGGAGTCATTTACAAATTATTTTTAGGGGGGACATTACCTGGGGATGGTCAACTTTCGGCGTGATGTTTTCGGCTGGTGTTTGCAGCCATATAGAAGGAGGGCATGCAAAGCTTCAGCCCTGAGGAACAGTTTTATACCCTCAGAATGAAGAAAAGCATACCTTTGAATGGAATCTGCTTAATAAATCTATCGCTGAGAAATGGTGTTGATAACCACATATTTTTCTGGTGGAATGCATTGCTGGTTACTATGAAAAGAAATTTCAGAAAATATGCATTTGCAAATAAAAAAAAATTTATGAAGAACTTTTTTTTTTACATTTACCAAGTTTTGCAAGTTACAATTCTTCATAATAAAGGAACATAAAAATGCAAAATCTAAGTTCCTTGTAACCGGCTCCATAACATTTCGGCATATAAGCCGCAAATACTAAGTCTCTCCATAGTTTCATACTGAAACAATAGTTTTATTAAGGTGGGGTTTATGCCAAAAAGTAAATTAGAGAAAAATGCATTCAAAGTGCTCGAACCTCTACCTTTTCTTTAACATTAATAAACTGAAAATAATTTATAAAAAAAAAAAAAAAAAACTATGCACTGTATACAAATAAAACTCTAGATGTTTACAAAATCAACTTTTTTGCAGAATTTTTTTTACGGGTAGTGTCCCCCATTTAACTTCATATTTATGAGAAATGTATGTATGTTATGAGAAATATGAGAAATGTACTTTCTCATATTCATGCCTTTTTTGAAAGCCTGGGCCAGAAGTGGATACATAGTACTTGGGGAACAAACCATGGAAGCCCCCAGAAAAGTTAGCTAACAATTCAGACTTATCGTTTTGCCTGCCGACACAAAGCCAAGAGCTCCAAACTTGTAAGATGGTACATGCAGAAGCAGCCCTTTAGACTAAGAAAAAACACATGCCTTTCCCCCTTTTGTGATCTTTACTGGGTCGACGACATTCCCGAGCGATTTGGACATCTTCCTTCCCTTAGAGTCCAGCGTGAAGCCGTGCATATACAGCTGCCTGCGAGGTTTGCAAAAATAAAATGTTTCACAAACAGTGAACACAGTCGAGGTAATATTTATGGGCAAGAAGCAGCATCATCAACAAAGGTGTAGCAGTTCATCCGCTAACATCGCAAGACAAGGTTTGAGCTGAAGACCCCCTTTTACAATGGTCAAAACTATTGCATTGATGGGATGAAGATCTGCCATGCAAGAATCGAGCCACATCCACTTAGGGCAGACTGCGAAGCAAACCGACGTTGGCCAAAAAGTATTTGGAGAGACTGACGAAAAGCGACTACAGCTGATCAAATCCAAGATCGAACTGATCCGGCTTTTTAATTCCACGCAATTTTCTTCTTTTCCCAGTGGCTATCGCCACAAGTAAGATCAACTGAACTAGTCATCTGCTATGTCTACACACAAGTACACTAGATGTCGCCCCCGAAGCTGCTCGCGAGACATTCCTTTTCACCGTACAAGAGTTTGGTTCACGGTATGTGCGATCCACAACTCCTCTTCACTTAACAGCAAAGTTGAACTGCCGCTGTGTTCTGACCAAGGACCATTGCAGTGACTACAAGCCAGCATGCTGGTACCCTCGTTCAACGTCACACAAATTGTTCAATCCAGTGCAAGTACTTTACACAAATCGTGTCCAACATAGTGTCAGCATTTCGGATCAAACTGTCCAACCTAGTGCCAGTGCCTCACATGAGCCAAGTTCAACCTACTGCCAGTAGCTAAAAATTAACCATGTTCAACTTAATGTCACTACCTCAAAAACAAGTCATGCTCAAACTAGTGTCAGTGCCTTAACATGAGCCATGTTCGACATAGTGCCAGTAGCTAAAAATTAACCATGTTCAATTTAGCAACAATACTGCGAGGTATGAATCATTTTTAACCTGGTGTCAGTACCTCAACACAAACCACAGTGGCATTAGATTGAACATGGTTTGTTTTGAGGTACTGGTACTGGGTTGAAGGGTCTGTTTGGTGTGTCCTACATCAAACCGGCCCTTCAATTTAGTGCCAGTACCTGAAAACAAAAAAAAAACTATGTTCAACCTAGTGTCAGTACCTAAAACAAACCATTTGACCTGGTAATATCTCCAAAATAACTGCAGTACTAGGTGTTAGTACCTCCAAATGAACCACATCTTGCTCTTACACTAAAAAAAAGAAAAAAAGACAAAGATGTTTACAAATTTTGGAGTAAAAGCCCCAGCAATTTTTCAAAAGATTGATGCACACGATACATACTTGTAGGGGGCTTGACCCCTGAGGGCCACGCTGGTGATGAGTGCGGACTGAAACCAACCCCGCACCTGGTCCTGACCCTCCAAGTAGAGCTGAGACTGCTGGGGCTCTGGGGGTAGCAGTACTGTGAGTCAGTTCTATCAACAGAATCACAGAAAGTGTTTATTCGAATATCATCAACAAAAAGATAGTACTGGGCTGTCAAAAAAAGAATTTAGAACTGTGCCCAGTCATAAGAGGTCATTGTTGACAGACTACTAATTTTAGTAGTAGTCTGTCAACCATAAGTGCAGCACTTTTCATTTTTGTAATAATATAGTAGTATAATATAGAAGTAAAAACAAAACAGCCCACTTGTCAGCCACAGCCGACGCCTGTCAGTACACCAATTGCAGTCGTCTAATTACTCACTTTCCTCCTCGGATGAGCTCTAAAAACAGGTTTGGAAACATTAATAGTAATTATCCACAAACACGGATCAGTCATGTCGATTACATAGGCTGTCTGTCCACAATGGTGAATCAGGCTGCACCTTTTCGAAACGCCACAGGAAGGAACTGGCGAGAAGAAATGACAATCAAACAAGAGATCTGCACAGTATACCCTCTTCATTCCTAAGCTGACAGTGCAGCGGAAGCTACATGCTCGTCAGACCAGTCATACGTCTATCTTTTGCCACATGATCATGCCAGATGATCAGCAGAGATCAGATTCGCCACATGATCAGCAGAGAGAGCAGGGTCAGGTGATGAAAGTGATAAAGTGATGTGATGGACAGGTACAGTCAACGTGCACCTCACACTGTCGGCTTAGCGGTAGACAAAATGTAGACAGGGCAACTGCCGTTGAGCTGCTCTAGTAAAGCAGGTGGCTCCAGGGGATCAGGCGTAACAAGGAATGCTACCACCAGAGCACTCCAGCAAAAGGAATTCAAGGCAGACTAGCAGTTCATTTCTTGCCCACGGGTGATGGGCAAAGGCCAGCACAGTGCCAGCACCTACCTCTCCGGTGAAAGGGCACAAGCTATCGCCGAGTGTCAGATGCACCGTTATCTGTAGCTAGATCCATGGCACGCACCTCATCGTAGCATTCGACCCCTCGTCCCCTTATACACCAAAACCCTCCGTGGGCCTCAAAAACCTCTGTTGCGAGGCTCTATTCTTCCAAGCTGAAAAGTAGACTAGCCCGGCTAGCCCAACGTTCGTAGTGTTAAAAGAGCACGCGACGCTGCGCATGGCATTCCCACGTGCTTTGCCCGACGAGCCGACACCGTGTAGGTGATGACCGCCTTGTCAAGATGTACAACTGTAGCCCACTGCAGGTACCCAGATTTGCGTTTGAGTGTTGTCGAATGCATTGTGCCCACTTGTGGCCGCTTACAACGAGAGAATGCGCTGACGCCATCTGTCGAAAAGCCCTCAGACACTTTGAATTTGCTTAATTTTCTCACTTTTTACACATCATTCTTTTACTGTGGGCTCGAAATATTTCTGACGATATTACGAGCGACCGTTTCTCGTTAATAGTGTATAGGTTCAACCTCACAAGGGCAGCAAAACGTTAGTGTGGGCACACTGCACTCGGTTACGTGCCTCAAGCGAAACATGTGAACTAGTTTTTAGTTGCGCACTAAATGCAGCTTAGAAGACTGGTCATCTTGAGGGTTCAGTCCTCACCGGGAAGAACGGCTCTCCAACTCAGTCCGCTGTCGAGCCAAATGTCCATTATGTCGTTGCCGCGTCGTAGCTCCGTTCCCGAGTCGAGCTTCAGCTGCGATGAAAACGAAACGAAAACCATGAAGATGCCGGCGTGGCCCGAACTGATGCCGCTTGACAGTGATTTGCGGCACCTTTGCTGTATATTCCGGCAGACCTTTGCAAGTTTAAAGCCTCTGTAAGCTGCTGGTGTTCACATACTCTAGAACTAGCAAAAACTTGGCGCACTATGGTTTCCATACCGGAAGCAAAACGTCTCCCTACCTGGTGCACTTTTTTAATAGAAGACAGCGAGATTTGAATGATTATTCGAGGATATAGCTGATGTGCAATGGCTGTACGATTCTATAGACATATACACAAGCAGGCTCATTTCTGTTGGTTAGAGTTCCTCAATGTTGCTCGCCGGCTGCACCTTGCTAGAGCGGCGACATAATTTGGGACGGCGAGTGCCACCTTTTCAGCAAATCAAGTGAAAGTGAGGAATAAACACCTTTGGTGTGCAATAAAAAAAAATAATTTTCAAGAGCTATTTTTTTATTTTGTGAATTGTCAGACTTGCTTTTGCATGGAGGGCCAATGGAGCATAAACAACTGTTCTCAGTCAGCATGGTTTGCTTATCTCCCGCTCTAGCCAACTAACCCCATTTCGGCCAAAGTCACCATTGGCCAGGGCACTGCGATTACTAGAAGAAAGCTCTCTTTCCGTGTTTTCGAAAAAAAAAAAAAAAAAAAGGAAATAGAGTTAAAAATAGGAATGCGTCATCATTCGGGGTTGGGGCATATCTTGGGATATTACGGTACTGCGTGCACACAGAAACCGTATGTAAAGAAATGATCCAAAGACAAGTCCTTTATGTACCCTATGCCACATTGTTATAGCTTTGTAACCGTCTGTAGTCACGGAAAGGATGGGAACAGTAGGACGTCTCTCTTGAACACTAGGCCTCCGGCACACGTCCATTGCCTTCCGCCGTGCCTCGGCTGCACGTGCGCACACAAGACTCGCGAGATGCCGAAGCATTATCCGAGCTAGAAAGCTCGCACTGGAGGCGGGACAGCTGAAGGGCCCTCTATGCTCTTCTCATCCAGTCAATAGCAAAAACACTAGACCTTGAAAGAAAACAAAAATTTTTTTTACTTATTTAGAACAGGCATGTTTTAAAATAAATGTTTGTCGAAAAAAAAAACTTTCGGCCTTTCCACTCTGGTGAAGAAGAAAGAGCAGCAGAGCTCTCTTCTGTTCTGTTCTCGGAGGAGGCTTTGCAGGCGAGCGATTTCTGCTCTTGTTTCGCAAAAGAATCTGAAGCGCTTGACGCACACGGCGGTTGCGGACCCGTTTGCACTGCTGCGTATGGCGCCGCTCCTTCCGCACCCGGTCTTCTTTCCCCGAAGAAAAAGCATGCGGCCAACCCATCGTGAGTCCAAACCGAAACTGATAAGATCGTAGGAAACAGCGCGCAAAACAGACGAGGACGAAGAAGAAACACACGTGACGTGCGTTCCTTCATCCTTGTCTGTTTTTCACGCCGTTTCCTACGATGAGTTCCCGCCAACTCTCCCAACTATCCATTCTTCTATGATAGCTGCAAAGGTTGCCGCCATCTATGAGCGACGGCGGCAACCAGACTGGTTGCTTGGTTGCCGCCGTCGCTTATAGATGGCAGTAGCTGTCCAGAGGTTCGTGTAGGTTTGCGTCGACAGTTCTTTGGTACCGGACACAATCCTGGGGAACCTAGCCCTTAACAGCTCCGCTATAAAAATTCAAAAATTTTTGTCCAATATTTATGTTACAATAAGAATTTTTAGATCTGCAGGCGAAACCGAAATTGTACCCCTGTGGGATGATGACGATAGCGTTAACACCCAACTAGTGTGCGCACCGAGTTCGACGGACACTCAGAGCACTAGTTAGGTAAAAATGCTAACATCATCATCCCACAAAGGTGCAATTTCCATTTCGCCCACAAATCGAAAAATTTGTACAGTCTAACCTTGTTATAACAGACCAAGATTTCGGTCTGTTGTAAAAAGAGTATGTTGTATGTAGATATGAAGTAGAGTCAATGGTGCATAGAGGAAAACCAACCGAACTTCACAAATCGGTATGTTATATACATATGTCTGTTGTAACCAGGTCTGTTATAATAAGCTTAAACTGTATCGTAACAAAAATATTGGGGGGGGGGGGGATTATTTTCAGCAAACGTTTATTTGGGGGGGGGGGGGATTATTTTCAGCAAACGTTTATTTGGGGGGGGGGATTATTTTCAGCAAACGTTTATTTGGGGGGGGGGGGATTATTTTCAGCAAACGTTTATTTTGAGACATGCCTGTCATAACCAGGTAGAGAAAAAGAAGTCTTTTCTAGTTTTAGTGTTTTTTTAAGTGGCATTCTCCAAAACACAAGAAAAACGTTTAGGGAAGTTGGAGGCAGTCGGTTATTTATGTGTAAACTGGATGGACACCTTCAGAACTGCAAGTATGTAATTCCAAAGCAATTGGCTTCATGATAGAGAAGAGGAAACAAAGTTCTGTTAAGGCTTTTAAGTTTAGAAAAAAAGAAGAGTGTTTACACCTCAGTGCTGAAAACAGTTTAGAAAGAAGTCAAATACCTCACTGCGTAGGCTTTCCGGCACCAGTTCCTCGTTTGTAGCAGTCCACCAGATGTCAGACCCCTTTTCCATCACCAGGTTGCAAACGTGGTCAACGAACTTCCTGAAAGTCACAAAACCGCACTCAATTGGCATACGGTTAATTAGATCACTAGCACGATAACTACAAAGGGTGGCACAATGGCATTTCTGTTCCATGCAAGCTTCAATCCAGCCATTATCCTCTTTCACCCAAATCACCAGCCATTGTGAATGCGACGAGCATTCACAAAAGTCACAGGGTTGCAGTTGAGGCCGCGTATCCAATCCTGGGTTCATTTCTGACATACCGTGTTTGCACGATATGACATACCGTGTTTGCACTTTTTTTCACCAAAATTGGTGCCCAAAAATACATGCACGTTACAATCAAAACCAAAAGCCAAGACTCAGAAAGAAAAACGCAATACTTGGTGTAAGGTGGCTAGCCCCCATCCCCGTCATGACCGTTTGTTTACATTCACAATTTCACTATCCGTATCATGCGTATTCTCTCGCCTCTAGGACTCGTGTCTGCCGTCCTAAGATGAAAAAAGAAAAACAAAGTTAGACTAGGAGGCATTATTTTAACGAAAAGCCATCACGCTGGCGGGAAAAGATAACAACGGAGCAGCACCGCATGGCCTCGCAATCCCTGCGACCCGACAAGCTTGCAAAGTTGTTTGGAAGACGACCTTCCCAGAGGCGACGGTTGCGCACTCGTACAAGCGCAAGTGCAGCACCAAAAGGCTTTAGACAAAAACAAGGAATACCTTTGTGGACAGCGAAGAACCATTATCGAACTCGGACAATGGCGACTAGTGCACAATATTCATTTTTGTATTGGCGTGCGTTTCATAAAACCTGTTTAGGGGTATGTGTTCAGCCTTCCTTTTTTTTACCTGCACGGTACAATCGGCATCAAGTTATTTTTCAAATATTTGAGCGCTAAATATACCTCTGTGTAACAATCGGAGGATCGTTACAATCGTGCAAACACGGTATATACTATTTTTAACCTTAGTAGGCACAAACTTGCCCATATGCAAGTGAAAAAAAAATAGAAACTTGGAGGCTGCATACAAACCGAAGGCTTATACAAGATTACAAAACAAATTACAAGCTTTTGCTTCATTTTTTAACATGACAAAGTCAAATTAGACAAAGGTTCTAGTGCACCATCACAAAGCAGATGATAAAAAAATAGTTGACACAAAGACTAAAAATTGTAAAAAAAAATAAAAACTTTCAGCATTTCCACTCTGGTAAAGAAGGAAGACCAGCAAAGCTGGTCTTCCTTCTTTTCTTCAGATGATCTCAACGACCACTCTTGGACAACCTCAAGGATGACACCTTAGGACGACCTCAAGGACGATGTCTAGGAAGACCTCAAGGACGACTCCTAAGACGACCTCAAGGACGACGCCTAGAGGGCAACCTCAGGGACGACATCTAGACGACCTCAAGGACGACGCCTAAGACGACCTCAGGGACAACGTCAAGGACAACTTCTAGGACGATTTTGAAAACCACGTTTAGGACAACCTCAAGGACGACTTCTGGGACGACCTCGAGGATGACCTCGAGGACGACATCTAGGGCGACTTCAAGAATGACTTCTAGGACGACCTCAAGGACCACCTTTCGGACGACATCAAGGACGACCTTAAGGACGACCTCTAGGACGACTACAAGGACAACTTCTAAGACAACCTTGAGGACAACCTCTTGGACAATCTTGAGGACAACCTCAAGGACGACCTCAAGAACGACGTTTAGGACAGCCTCAAGGGTAACTTCTAGGACGACATCTAGGACGACGCCTAGAGAAATTCCATTCTGGTGAAAACCAGAGTGGAAAGGCTGAAAAGGTTGTCGCCATCTATGAGTAAGGCCGGCAAGCCCATTGTCTGGTTGCTGCCGTCGCTCATGGATGGCGGTAGCTGTCCAGAGTTCTGTGTCTACATTTCTTTGCGGGGAACACAATCCTGGGGAAACTAGCCCTGAACAGCTCCGCTGTAAGAGGAATGACTATCAAACTCTTAACATTGGGCTGAAGTGGACATCAATTGGTTGTGAGATGGCAAGGCTTGAAGTTGAAGTTGGATTGTTTCAAAAACCACTTACAGCCCAACTGGACATCAGGTGGAACCACTTCAAAGAAAGTGGGACCAGTTGCAGTCACAATGGTCCCACTTTAAAAACTGCTTGCAGCTCAAGTGGTCACAAGTGGGACCACTTGCAAGCTAGTGGGACCAGTAGCAGTCCAAGTGGTCCCACTTCAGAAACCACTTGCAGTCAAAAAGGTCACAAGTGGGACCACTTGAAAGCATTTGGACCATTTGAAATCCCATTTCATATTTCCACCTGGGATACATTTGAAATAAGACAAGGTAGGTGAAAAGGCCATCGACATGTATAGACAACACAAAAACCAGGCTGACACAATAACAGTCTCAAATGTAACAAACATTATGTTTTGCACTGCTGGCTACACGTTTCAGACAACAATGGTGCTTGTCCCACCTTCACCTTCTACCCTGGTCCCATGTTTCACCTCATTACACTTCATCTACCGGGTGATTCAAGGAGACGGCAGGCTCTTTAAATCGACCGAAAAATTCGGTTTCCTAACCTATCGCGCTACGACTTTGTGCAGCGTTGCCCACAGATGGTGCATTTTTTTTGTGAAATTTGCAAAGAGCGAACTTACCTGAGGAAAAAGTAAAGAAAGAAAAAGGCTTAGCTCCTAAGGAAACGCAGCGACGCCACCGGTCTGCAAACAACACGGCGCCGTTTCGCACGGGACACAAGAGATGGCGCAAGCAGTCGCGACGCCAACTGCCGCCAATGAACGAGCAGCTGATGCCGAGAGCCGGCGTATTTAGCAGAGAAGGAACTGCAGTTCCTTGTTGTTACCGCGCCTGTTTTTGTTTCTGCGACTGTCGCCGCCCGCGGAACGCGCTCCGCTTTTGAGTCGAAAAGATTGTCTGCTAAAGATGCTGGCTCTCGGCGCCGTATGCTCGTTCGTTGGCGGCGTTCGTTGTGCCATCTCTTGTGTCGCGTGCAAAACGGCGCCGTGTTGTTTGAAGACCGATGGCGTCGCTGCGTTTCCTTAGGAGCTAAGCCTTTTTCTCTCTTTACTTTTTCCTCAGGTAAGTTCGCTCTTTGCAAATTTTACAAAAAAAAAAATGCACCATCTGTAGGCTACGCTGCACAAAGTCGTAGCGCGATAGGTTAGAAAACCGAATTTTTCGGTCAATTTAAAGAGCCTGCCGTCTCCTTGAATCACCCGGTAGAAACATACAAGGTTCTAACACCACTGTATTTCTTTTTCGGTCTCAGGTTATGCTAGTCTATAGGATACAAAAATATGTCACTTATTTTTTTGCAATGACAAAAAAAACAGAGAAAAGAGGAGACATAGGTATTTATGCAGAAATTGCCTCACTTGGACGTGAACGGGCGCTCGCCGCTGAAAAGCACCGGGATTGGAACGCCCCAGTGGCGCTGCCTCGAGATGCACCAATGGGGTCGCTGCATCAACTGGTTCTCAAACATGAGACGAGCACTTTCGGGCCTGATTTCCACTCCCTTCAGGCACTCCTACAAAGAAAATATACGAGAAAAACAGTGCATTCCCCAAGAATGCTAGTTTGAATTAAATGCATCAGCCAAAGTAGATAGGCGTTTGTGGTGGTCACGGTAGTGCCCCAAAACAGCTGCTACAGGGGTGCTCCAGCAATGAGACCAAAACAGACTGTAAGATATAAGACATCAGTTAGTGTAAACTATACTCAGCATTCTTTTTGTGCAGTGTTGACAAGGATAGAGTGGCTTCCACAGTGCTGTAGCCCTGCACCAGGATGTGGCTTTCTCTTGCACCTTATTTGAATGCACTCTCATTCAAAGCCAATGGCAAATAAAGCCATGCAACGTGAAAGCAGAATTCGATGCTTAGCATGTTGCCTTGCACAATAAAAGAGCAATATTGCCATTAAACAGCAAAAATGTGTGGGAAAACAAAACAAAAAGTTATCCTTTAGCAAACAAGTTGTGAGGGGTCAACCTTTCATAACTACCATAAAATTCCATACAAGCACCTGCCCCAAGAAATTGCACATCCCATTGCTCCGGCTAAGTATCCACATGTTAAAGATACTGAGACATCATCCATTCCCACCAGACATCAGGCTATGTCCGACGGAAATCACATCATCCACGTTTTTCGATGTCAGTATCTGTGACAAGCGAGTTCGTAGTAGGTTCCCATGGGATTAGTGAGCTGTGGAACTCAAGTTTACCGAGTCTGCAATCCGCACGCACGGTATCGATTTTCATGACATGCAAGTTCCTGTGGGTTCCTGCATATTTATCACACTGGGAAACACGGAGGATCTGCTGTGTCCGTGATCTGCAGTATCCATTCCTTCGACATGCGACCTCACAGCGGGTTCCTGCACGTTTTTGTAGCACCACAGAACTCGAGCTTGACGTGTCTGCAATCTGCAGTATTGGTTTCCATGAGACGTAGTCCATAGTTGGTGATCCCTGTGTTTATCACTCATTTCTTTATAAAATTTTGCTGTCGCATCCTCGAAGAATGCCTACCCAATATTTTTCACCGTTCATCTCTTCACCACCGTGGGCATTCATTCGGGATTTCATTTTTAACTATCCAGCCATAACTAACAACTGGCCTAAAAGTGCATGCTTCGCACAACAGACAATCACATAAGAAATGAATTGTTCATTTTTTTTTTATACACACGTGTGCACGGCCAACTCTTACCAGGCATCGCCGCCTCAGGTTCTCGTCGAGGTTGATGAACCACTGCCGCGACGAACGCACGATGACGGGCTTCTTGCTGCGCCAGTCGTAAGGATAGCTGTGCGTGTAGACACCTCTGTGCAACACGCGGTTGCCCAGGGTTGTCAGCACCGCCTCGGAGCCCTCTGTCAGCACGCTGCGGCCTTTCAGTCCGTCCCCGGCGCCGGCCGTAAAGCAGCCTGCCTCGTCAACCAGGCATTCCTGGTTCAAACAACAAAGAAGCAATGAAGCAGTTGCCATTTATGTATCGAATTCGCTTGGCGCATCTGATACAGCCCAAAAAGAGTTCATTCAGTGACATCTTGTGCACATAGTTATCGACGGTTGTTTTGCCCAAAGACACTTCTGTAACTACGAACGCCTACTCCACAAATTAGGTCTTCAAGTTCTGTCTGTCAGAAGGCTGTCATACCATCTACCTACTTTCTTGTGCAAAATAATTCACAATGATATAGTCTCCGAGCTTGTGTGCTCGTTGAGTATTAATGCATCCGCTCGTTTGACAAAGAGTGCTCTTACTTTTAAAGCGCAGCTCTTAGGCGTAACCGCACTAAATTTAGCGGCAAAATTGACGTCACGCGATTTCAACACCAATTCAGTTCCCTGCTAAATTTAGTGGGGATTGAATTGGTGTTGAGGTCACATGACATCAATTTCCCCGCTAAATCTAGCAGAGAAAATGAGTTGGCTCATAGGTAATGTGACACCAAGTCATGTGACGTCATTCTCAGCGCTACATTTCGCAGGGAAACTGATTTGGTGTTGAGGTCACAGGGCATCAATTTTTCAGCCAAATTTAGCGGGAAAACTGTGGGAGGAGAGGCGGGTATGGAGGAGGAGGATGGGAGGGTGCACAGGAGGAGGAGGAAAGGAAAGAAGGAGGAGAAAATGAAGAGGAAGAGGAGAAGGGAAGAAAGGGAGAAGGGCATACCCTCCCTTCCTCCTCCTCCTCAAGAGCTGCCATCTAATTTTGCATTACAGAGATTTGTACACGTCTTTCACTTTTTACACTAACAATCAACATATGTTATCACCCATAACAAGAATTCAGTAACGTCTGGCATCCCTCAAGGAACCGTTCTTGGCCCCCTTCTTTTTTTAATCTACATTAATTATCTCCACTATGGCATCACTCCTGAAGTATGTTTGTTCGCCGGTGACTGTGTCATCTATAGACCGATTCATTCACGCCACGATCGACTAATCTTGCAGAACAATCTCCAACTTATAATTCAGTGGTGTTATAAATGGCAAATGGCTTTAAACTATAATAAATGTAAACCGCTATCTTTTTCCCGCAGTTCACATGTTCTATCCTCCTCTTACCACCTTTCTGACATCCCAGTAACTGCTTGTTCATCATATAAATATCTTGGAATTCATCTGACATCTGGCCTGTCATGGACCACTCACATAACATCTGTCATCGCCGATGCGAACCGCACTCTCGGATTTCTTCGCCGTAACCTCAGACAAGCTACATTCCCCGTAAAAAAACTAGCTTATACTACATTGGTCAGAACTAAACTAGAATTCGTTCCTTCCATATGGTCACAGTGGAAGGCATACCTAACTGACAACCTGGAATCCGTTCAAAGCAGAGCCCTCCGCTTTATTAGATGCGGAGCATCTCTTCCTCGGGCTATGTCCCGCGGCGTCGTAGTCCGCACTCACACTACGCATGCGCAACTCTCCTCGCTGCACGTGCGTTCTCTCTCTCTCCAACAGCTGCGCGAAGTGCACGCAGCTACCAGCTGCGTCCCTCTCTCCAACAGCTGCGTGCACTTTGCGTGCGTTCGCTTCTACTCACACCGCGCGCACAGGTGCAACTCTCCTCCTCTAGTTTCTTCTCCTTCAAGTTTGAATATAAGCAGCAGTAGCGCGCTGCGCGCGTTCAAGGGGAGGAAGTGGCCGAGTGGGCTAACGCATCTCAGCTCGGAGCGTGGAGCGAAAGCTTGCGCTGGGAACCTCCTGGGTTCGAGACCCCGCCACCCCCGCCCGTTTCGATCTGGATGAGTTTCGTACCGGCACGCGTTCGTGTGATGACTACTGCGTGATGCACGTTAAGAATCCCAGGTTAGCGGTTGTACTGCACTGGCTAAATTTCTCATCTACAGCTAAGAGACCGATTACCCATTGAGGCGCATCTCCATCAAGGCTGTATAAACATAAAGAGCAAACCAATTTCTGCACGCGTTCAGTTCACCGCTGTTGACTCCACTTCACTCCGTTCTTCCGATGAAGTGTGATGGAACAATGCTCCGCATCACTCCATGGTTCCCCTCGGGAAGATGGTGTAATTTTTTTCTTCCGACTACGGTATTCCCCTTACGCAAGCATATCAGGATTTCGCTAATCAGCTAACATTGACACTCTTTCTCACCCGACGCAGGGTGTCTCGTCTTTCTCTTCTTCATCGAATCTTTCATTACAACAGTCATTTCAGACAAAGTTTGTTATCACCTCCTTACCGGATTTTCCCTCTTCTCGACCATTCTTATAAACTCCGTCCGATTTCATCGTCAACCGTCACTCACCAAATGTCTACTCTACCATTGGCCATTGACGAGTGGAACTCACTGCCCGACGTAATTGTTTCCTTATCTGACACTAAAAAATTTTCTGCCGCCATTAGCTTATTTTTTCTAACCCGTAAGTAGATTACAGCGTGTTTTTGTAGATAAATAGTTTATTATTTTTTTTTTTAAGTGTTCACTCCCTTGTATAATGGCCCCTGGGCCTTCAAGGAATAATAAATGATGATGATGATGATGATGATGACCTGGCCTGACGCCAAAGTATTTGCCAACGCGATCGCCAGCTTTCCTGTTTCCCCAGCATTGCTCTTTGTCGCTTCTTTCGTCCATTCGCTCGCTCATTGTGGCAGTTGGTTGTTCCTATTTTCTTGTTGACTCTTTTTTCTTTTTTGTTTTTTTACTAACGAAGAGAACATAGCAGTGTTAGAAACATGCTCTCACAAAACAAACATTTGTGCTGTGTGCCGATCGGCAGTGTTCATAGCATGTATGCAAGCAACAAACTTTGTGATGTAAGACATTCTCTCATGAGCATTTCTCGCATAACACAATGAAACTAATTTGAGTTTTGAGCTTAATGAATCTCGTGCAGCCGTGCTAGATATGTACAAAAAAACAGGCTTTTTTTCTTTCTTTTTTTTTTTTTTTTAACTTTTGTGTTTTCCAATTGAGACCTTACTTTTTCTATGAATTTTGGGCAGCAGGGGGGTGGGCGACGACTCGGCATATTACAGTATACACTGAAAAACAGAAATTGAACCCAATGGGACCTTTCTCGGCATTTGATAACGCTGAAAAGCAAGAATTAAAAACCCAGTCACAAAATGCCTTACCTCCGGCGCAATGCCATGCTTGAGTGCATTCTGGAAGTCCTCAAACCCGTGATTGGGCGCCGAATGGACCAGTCCCGTTCCCTTGTCCATGGTCACGTGATCTCCAGGGACCAGTGGGAACTCCCTCCCAGCACGAAAAGGGTTCGAGTAGGTCGCGCCGGACAAAACGTCCGCTCCTGAAGGCGACGTAAAAAACACTTTGTCACATTTGCACTTTAAATGACCCTGTTAAACCAGATAGTTCACACTCTTTTCAATGGCTTTCAACAATTTCATGCATCTCACATTAAAATCAGTTACCGCAAGATTTTAATGCTGTTGGCGCACCTTGTATTTTATTTATTTCACACTTCGCTAGCTTCTCAATCACACTTCTAAATGAACATCAGGTAAATAAAGTAAACAACTTCACAGTAGCCCGTAGAGAAGTGTATATCACATGCAAACTGTAGTTCCAGTAGCAACATAGTCTAAAAGTCGCCATGAATCACATAAGACTGAAATCGCAAGCCGTTTTGTCGTGTTAGAGCTCACAGAAACATACAGCGATATTTTACAGTCATGGGAAGTGAAGAAACTGGACAGTCCCATACATTTTCATAACAATATAGATTATATTTCTAAAACACAATAAAATACTAACACGAAATTCCAACATAATTTCTAAAACACAATAAAATCTGCACTAGCAAACCACACAAGAAATGCTTTTTGTCACCTTGCGAAAACAGAGCACCGCAACCCTGCCACCACAAGTGGCGCATCATAGTGTATGATTCAGAAATGTTTGCGTGTTTTAAAGTAATTTTTAATATTTTCAAAGAAAGAATGTTTTTAACACCGTTGGGTTTGCTTACCCAGCATAACCAGTGAACTGTGGTTAAGTGACAATAAACCCCCCATGTGTGGTCTCATGGGTAGCACTTCACTGCAATGCACTCGTGCCACAGGGGAAGCAAGCTCTACGTAGTTTGCTTCCCCCGCGTAAAACGGTGAACGAATTTCGAAAGTATCATCTATAATAAAGAGTGCAAAATTTCAAAATATCGAAATTCAGTTCAAATGTCAAATCAAATACACCGAATCCGAATCAACATTCGAAAGTTTGTAATATCTGCACACGCCTAACAATAATAGCCACTAATAAAAGTAATGGCAGACACAGTATCAACCGAACAAGAGCGAAGAACCACAAACTATGCAAAGATTTAAAAGATGGCCGACTCGACTCGCGAGAGCAGTCCATCCCTCACTGGCGTGCCCGAGACCTCACCTTCGAACGTCAGCAGGACTTCGGCGTTTTGCGCCAAGTGGCCCCGAACCTGCGGGATCATCTCGGAGGCCACCACCAGGAGCGTGCACGCAGGATCCGTCCGTATGACGCTGTATCTGTTGATCAGAAGCAAGGTTCAATCTACTCGCGGCAAACTTTGGCATTGAACGAGATGAGCCATGGTCACCGACAAGCTGAAGGGGAAGCACTTTGGTTGTCCCACCGCCAGCGCGAGCTTCCTACTTTCGGCAATGCCTCAACGTCTCACGCACCTTGAGCAAATAGGCGCAGCCAAACCATAATGGAAGGCATAGAGGGCATGCTAGAGGCTGGGCATTTGAAAAACATGCCCCGATTTGACGACTGGCTTCATCACAGCTGTTTACAACTCTTCATAGCCGCATAAGAAAGCTTTGTGCTTAAAGTAGTAAGACAAATAGAGCGGTCCTGTGTGAATCCACAGTATGACTACGGCGGTAGCTACGATGCCTCATCGGACACTAATGAAATCCTCGGAGTAAAAAAGGGACATAGAAGGAGGAGGGGGAGGAGGGGGGGGGGGGGGGGGGGAAGGCAGAAGAAAAAGCCCCGTGGCGCATGAACATGCACATTTTTCCAAAGCTCTTCTTTGAGAACATAAGTGCTTTTCTTCCCCGTTTTTTAACAATGAGGAAGAAATGTCGCCAACCGAAGCACGTCACATTCAGTAATGTAGAGGAATCTCCCGCATGCAACTACACTATGTTTCATGGTATGTTTATTTTTACGACATTATGTCCATAACAAGTAAACCTTTGTTCGATTTTCTTACATTTGCTTAGTACCGATTTCGCAACTACTATGCGTGTTCCCATGAAAACGAGACATAAGGCTTTGTTAGATCAAAGAGATGGGACGGCAGAAACGATCCTCTAAAATGGGACTGTCCCGGCCAAAACGAGACTCCGGCCACCCTACTGATAATGCATCTCTTATGTAGAACTCACACTCGTGAGAACGAAGTCTCTTACCCTCGCTCTCATGCGCACGCACCTGACTATTCTCCGGGCAATGACGGCGACCTCCTGCTTGTGATACTCTGTGCTCTTCGGTCTGACGAACCCTACGTTCCCCCGCTGCGGCGGGAGGTCTAGCTTTGGGCTCCGCCTCTTTTGCCGCAAACGGCACCTTACATCGAAAAGCCATCGTCATGGCGCAAGACTTGAGTGTCGTGATCAGTGTTACTGCGACTGCACCCGTCCTACGAATGCCAAACGAGACTCGTTTACTTCGGTGTTCTTAACGCGTGGAATTATTAGGTGGGGTGTTGCAGCAACGGGCATAGCTCTGTAGTAGCATGCCCACTTTACACTCACCATACCACGCATCTAATCCTGGCGGCGGCAGCGGCTTTGGGGGATATGGTTTTGACGCGACGTCTTACCCGAAGGAGTGCACATACAGAAACTATGCAACGGAAATAGACCTCACGATACGGTTTTTGCATGAGACCACGATGCAACGCTACTTCCGGTTCGGAAATCTCGCCGGAACCCGTCGGAATGCAAGTTGGAGACATTTGTCACTGTTATGCTGTTTGTAGGCTCTAAGGCCATGTTCGTGCTGAAGTTTGTCCATTCACTCAAGGTTTAAGATGGTCATTTGCACCGTAATTAATCGTTTCAGCCGTAAAAGTCAGCAACAAAATGGAGCTATGGCCAGCAGTATATTGTTTCTTTTAGAATTCCGGCAATCATTAGAACTAGGACAAGGCGACGCTCAAGCAATAGGTTCATCAGCGCCATGAATGGCTCTAACGGATACGATAGCACAATCTCAACAGAAAAGCTCCATACCAACTAAGGGTCTGCAGTAGTGGTGCAGAATTATCAATAGTACTATAAATAATATACATAGTACTATCAATAATATTGATATTCAAAGCCAAAATTAACTAAAGATAGTGCTATCGATAGTCGACTGTCGTAAAACTATAGATATTACTATCGATAGACGACTATTGCAAAACTATCGACAGTATACTATCAATAGTTGACTATCATAAACTCTATAACATATACTGTCAATAGTAGACTATCATGAAATTGTTCATGGTCGAGTATTGAGAAACTATCGTAAAGCTATTGCCAATGTTTTACTAGGTCACGAAGAATGTCAAACGTCCATCCAGGAAATGTTGTGTAGCACAGAGAAAAACGCAACTGCAATAAGGGACTTCCGCATAATTATCAAGGGATAATCGAAAACCTATTGGAAAACAATTAGAAAAAGGTACAGATCCTTATTAGAAATCATTGACAACAAACCATTAAAGAAATATTGACTGTATACTATTGAAAAACCTATGAATAAAAGATATCAACTTGATAGGTTGTCGAAGTGTTTCTGCTGTTTTAGGCTGCTTTTCAGTCTGTGTCCTTTGCTTTTTATAGGCCTCAATCAGAAAAATCAGAATCCCTGTCACCCCTGTAAGTAAACTACCATATTAATTTCAAACATAAGTCAACCTTTTTTTTTTTTTTGGAAATGTCAACAATTAATTAAGGGTCGACCTATATTCTTGAACAAAGAATTTTTACCTACTACATTCGTGACCAAATCTTGCGACCCTACCGAGGGCATGGAGCTATCAAGTCATCGAGCCAGCGTCGCGGTAGAGCCGCGCCGCTTCTTGTTTCAGAAAGCTTTTCGTGCACAAAAACAATCAAAACAGCCGCGTTGCGGGGAAGATGGGTTACCGAGGGAACTAAAAACACACTTGAGAAGACTGACTTGTGCTTAGTGGAGAAGCAGACCGCCTGGTTCGCAGGAAGGGTCCACGGGGTCGTGGTCCAGATCAGGACGGACACTTCGGACCTTTCGGCTGCAAGAAACAGACGAAGACAGAAATGTTGACACAAAATGGGGCAAAGGTTGTTGTCGCCTCATCATCGCAAGAACAGAGCTCTTTTCAGTGCCTCGATTCATGCCAGAAATGAATAAAAACGTGGCTTTAAAATCTTGCTGCTGTTGTTGTAAAGTGTATTACAATAAACTCTCAATTGAGCGAACTTCAAGGGACCCAAGGAAATTGTTCACTTAACTGAAAGTTCACTAAACTGAATATATTCACTAGAATTTGGAACAGCATAGGGCACACCATACAACGAGTCAAAAGTGTGAAATGCATTTTATGGAGTCCTGTACATCGATATATAGGTAGTATATACAAAGTGCATAAAAATTACGCTGCTGCCTTTTTCATTTTGAAAAAAAATCTGTAATTTTCATTTGCACCGGCTCTCTATTAAAGCGCATGAAGTAACAAAGCTGTCCAGAGAGTCTGTCTTTTTTGCACTTCCTCTGACACAGCTTGTTGCTGTGACGAAGCCATACTCAGGGCGTCTAGCATATTATTATTCTGAAATTCCCTGACTTTTCCAAGTTTTTCCTGACAATTTCAGGTGAAATTCCCTGACCACTGTAGAGGCGGTTAAGTATATAAGACCATTACAACACGAGGTATTGAGCACTGAGCACTGTGAGGATAATTTTGCACGGGCTTAATTTAACTTGCATATTCCGAAATATTCGAGTTCGTCCACCCTGGAGAAACTAGCACTTTCTTGCCGCCAATATCGTCAGCGGAGAGGCCACTTCCACAAACACAATGAAAACACGACACTCAACCATATGTCAATAATCTAATAGCAGCATGGCTGCATGGACGCCTGATGCACAGTTTCGGCCTAAGGTTTGGATTAAATTATTGTCTGCGACTTTCCCATTTGTTACTAAATCTAGTAGCTCTAATTGAATCTAGCCTAGTGTTGTGCCCTCAGTTCAATTCAATCCAATCCTAGGCTTGGACTGGATTTTCAGCTCTTCCCTTTGGATCGGGTAGAATACTCTACATAGGGTGAGCAGAGCCCGTGCTCCACTCTAAGCAGAATTTATTGCCTATTTGTCTGCCCCCCAAACATCGAGCCTTTCCTCAGAGAGCTTGATGGCATTTCCAGCTCATTTTCCCTGACAGGGCTCGCTTTTTGACAATATCCCTGACAATTCCCTGATATTTCCCGGTAATTAAAATTTCCCAGACAATTCCCGGTTTTCTGGCTGCTAGACACCCTGCATACCTCACAGCATTGTCCACTGGCTCAAAATATCCCATGCAGATTCGTTTCCTGTTGGAATTAGATTGAACGCAGTTTTTTCTTCAACCTTCGACTTTTACCTCGCCATCGTTGACAACGTCGACGGTGAAATCTCATAGTCCTCCTCAACGTCCACTTGCCTTTGATCGTTGTCCAGACGCTGAAGGATTTTGAGCTTGTCTGGAAGAGACAACGGCTTTCGTTTCGTCATACTCATTACAAAAGTGGGCGCACAAATTGCCGTCCTGCCGTTGTTGCCCAAAACTAAGATGGCCGAATGGAACCAATGACAAAGAAAAGACACACACACCACGTAGTTCCTTTTCGCCTACCGCACCGGCGCTTTGCTTCAGCGGCGTTGTAAACCCCAGCAATGATACGTCGCCGCTGCAGAGGCGGCGGCAACAGCGGGCATCGGCTACACCAGCACTGCAGAGCACAAAACTTTGAACTGATAACAAAAATAATCCTGGGTCCACCGATAAAGCTGGTTGAACTGAATTATTCACTTCTATGAAATCTGTTAATTCGTTTAACTGAAATAATTTTGCATAGAACACTTAGGAAAACTGCCAGGGATTTTTTTAAAGTTTGTTATTCTGAAATATCTGTTAAACCGAAGTTCGCTCAACTGAGAGTTTACAGTACTACTTACAAGCAGATACAAGCAAGTAGTCTCACATCAACCAAACACTGCAAGGTATGCAACAGGATGTCCCAAGAAAATTACTTTATTAAAATTCCCTGACTTTTTCAGGTTTTCCCTGACAATTTCAGGTGAAATTCCCTGACCACTGTAGATGCGGTTAAATATATAAGACTATTACAACACAAGGCATTGAGCGCTGTGAGGATCATTTTGCACAGACTTAATCCAATCTGCAAAGTCCGAAATTTTCAGGTTCGTCCAGTCCGAATTAAACGAGCACTTTCTTGCCACCGACATCGTCAGTGAAGAGACCGCTTTCGGAAACACGATTAAAACACGAAGCTCAACCACCCACGTCGATACAGTCTAAGCTCGTTCCAACAGACCTGGTTACAACAGACATTTGAATACACTAACATACCAATTTGTGAAGTTTGTTTGGTTTTTCCTCTACAGACCATTGACTCAACTTCATGTCTGCATACAACATACCCCTCTTACAACAGACCGAAATCTTGGACAAAATCAAGGTCTGCTGTAACGAGCTTAGACTCTAACCGAATGGCAGCATGGCCACCAAATGCACACTTTCCAATACTTTCGGCTTAAAGAGCTTGGGTTGGATTGGGGTCTGCGGCTTTTTAATTTGTTACTAAATCTAGTAGCTCTAACTGGATCTAGCCTAGTGTCGCACCCTCAATCGAATCTAATGCAAGGCTTGGACTGGATTTTTGCGGCTGTTCCCTTTGCATCGGGTAGCACACTCTACATCGAATGAGCAGAGCCCTGCGCTCCGCTCTAGGCATAATTAATTGCATATTTTTCTGCCCCTAAGTCCTCAAGTCTTTGCTCAGGTCACTCAATGGCGTTTCCAGACCATTTTTCCTGACTGCGTTCGCTTTTTAAAAATATCCATGACAATTCCCTGATATTTCCCGACAATTCCCGGTCGCTAGACACCCTGATAAAATAACTAAAAAGCACACCCCCCCCCCCCTCCCAGGTCATGAATAGCAACAAAATTAGAGCTCGACACTTCAAAGCGGAGCATACAATTATATGTGCTCTGGCCACATATAAGAATGAAAAATGATGAAGATTGGGCTTTCAGCTCAGAAAAGGTACATGAATGGCAATTTACAATAAACATGAAAGCTGTATTCAACAAAAACTTGAGAAATAACACCATAAGGTGTGTGTCACAATAGTAAGGAACCTTCAAGTAACACTTATGTACAAGAAATTTGAGTCGTTAATACATGTCCTTTATGATTACTATACATACCTTCAATGATGTGCTTAAATGTTCTTACAGTTGCGTTAAGAATGTTTGCACGGTCGTTACAAACAAGACAGTTTTGTCCCTCCTCAGTTGTGAATTAATACCAAGCATTAATGTTGAACTAGGTAACTGGCAGCAGCCCTAGTAAAATCCAGTATTGGATTTTACTAGGCCCACCCATTTTGAAGAGATAAATGGTGGAAAAGATTAGATGGGCGGTCTTCGAGAATGAAGCAGCAAAAGTTTATTCAAAATGGCCGATAAACGCCAGGGCGCCCACTATCAATCACGTGAAATGGGAACTGATACCGCAGATTGCGCAGCTGATCTCTCAGGAATTGAGGATGGGCAATGCTTCAGAATATTTAGCCTATGGATACTAATTACCCAGAAAAACGGGATGGGCAAACTCTCAGGGGGCAGCAGTCAAACGGGATTTCACAGTAATCAAAGCAGCCCAGACAGCCAGTCGCGCTAATTAATACTCACAAATTACTGCCCGTATCATTTCCGGAACCTTGACTAATGGAAAGGCCACGAACACCGAGTGGCTGTAACACAAGCCAAAGGATTAAATTTAGAAGTAGCTAGTTAACTAAAACAAGGCAAAGCCTGCACATCTTTACCTTTGGTGGTTTGGGTTGTACTCCAGCTCTGCTTCAGCCAGCGCAGTCCTAGAACATTGTTTTTCGTTGGGCTCTTCCACAAAACAGTATATGTCAATGTTATGCACCAGCAGAGGTAAGCCTTAATACTAATAATTGTGCCTTCACCAAAGGACTCACTTGTTAGAAGGAGACCAGTAAACTGGCTTGTAGTCTCTGAACACATAGCCCTGCAAAAGAAATGCTAAGTGAGAAGAGTGATTTTCATTTATAGCCAGATCAATTGCAGCCACCCCCTCAAATCTAACCGAGTTTGATGCCTTCAGATTGCAGGCATTAGAATCACTAGATAGGTTTCCGAAGTACTGCATTCTTTCTCTCTTTCCCAACAATCTTTTTATTTACATTTGATTGTGGTTGGCAGAGCGATTACAATTTTGAGCACCAGAATGTCAAACCCACTTTGAATTAGCCACATCTATCATCGCACTGAAGGCACTCCTCGTCAATGTCGGCGTCTTTGGATATGTGCATGCGGTCAACTGCTCAACATCTTCTACCTGCACCAATTTAAAAAAAATTGCCCTTTTTTTTTTAAATAATATTTTAATATCATCACCACGGCCAAAAAATTTTCACCGCAAGTGGTGGTATCTAGTGGAGGCAGAGCAAGCCCGTGCACCATTTGCCGTAAAGCCCCTCGATGTGATGTGTGCAAGTAGAGTCAAATGCGCCAGTGCACGACGCCTGTGCGGCCCTTGGAAGCAAAAGGCGGTGGATAACCTAATCGTGGCACGTGTCTTGCGTGTTTCGATAACAATGGTTGGCGGTACTTGAAAGCGTGAATTTTATCGAGAGACTCTAATTCGCCTGACTCTTTATTGTCCTTATGTTTCAAAACAAATGAAAAAAAAACTTGTTTTCCTACTACAAATTTTTAAAAAATATTGGTGCTTGGATTCAGTCATTTATATGAGAAACCAATTTTTTCTCTTTTTGTAAAACCACCTGTCATTTCAAATTTCAATTTCCTCACTCAGACTAGAAGGACAAAGAGACTAGTGGCAGATGGACCCAAGATGGCAGTGCACTACCCAAAAAAAAGGGAGTTCCAGTACTCCAACACATCTAGTGACTTTGGCAGGCGCAGTATAGAAAAACAATGTGAAGAATGTGACAGTACAAAGACAACAAATAAACGGTGCAAATGCAGTTGCCTCAGTTAGTAGCCAACATCTTCAAATTGAATCGTGTCAACTGTAGGGATTCAATGCCACACAAGATGCAAATCATGTTTTCAACTAGAAACACTGTCGGCAAAGTCAAGTAGGGCATTGGATGTCTATGTTATGTGAAGCACATTTCAATTATGGTCCATTCTTTTTACTGAAATAGTCAAACGGGGAAAGGTGAAATAATACATCCACTATTTCCATCAACAATCAGTTACTAATATCTTTAAAGTACAACTCATAAATGTTGCAGACTGGTCACTGAAAAAAGCGGAAACGTAAACCTTAACCCAAGAACAGATGCACTGAAAAATGTAACTTGGCAGGATTCACAGTTGGAAGAAACATTTGTCACCTTTTCATAGAGCTCGTAGAATGCCCTTAGTTGCTCCGCCACATATTCGGCGTCGTATGTGCGGTATGGATGGGTCCAATCAGCCATGACACCCCAGTGTTGGAATGACTGCATCTGTTTTTCGATCGTGGCTGTGGCAAACTTTCGAGCTGCAAGATATTTGAGGGCAGGAAACAATTTCAATCAATCGATCAATCAATCAATGTGTATTTTTACTCGTGCTTAGCAACAGCTCAGAGGTCTTTGCAATAAAGCCCGCAAACATGTATAAAAAAAATGTATTAACACAATACTGACAACTTCAAAACCAAACTCAAAAATGACAAAATGGCCAATCAAAAGCCATTAAACGGCAAATAGCACAGGGACAAAAAGTTTGGTGGCTTCAAGGTCTCTTAATGAATAGATAAATGGGATGAAGGGACTTGCAGGACTTAAGGTCAAAAAATTAATAAGGATATTAAAACAGTTTAATATGGTCGTATTCATGCACATTTTCGGTGGTCAAGATGAATAAAACACAAAGAGCCTTTCAGGTCAAGTTAAACCAAAAACAACAAACAAACCAAATATGGACAAAGATTACGCAAAAAGTATGTCTATTCAATATACTTGCCCCCTTCCTGCCAAAGACATTTTAGCATTTATATCTTACGAACGTCTTTCATATCCACTAATCTTGCAGTGATGAAAGCGACATTTGACCTTTTGTTGCAGGTTCTGTAGCAGGCAAAATATTGGTGTGGAGCAGCCACTGACAGCTTTGGAGCAGATGCCAACACCTGTTAGCACATTACTTGAAAATGAATAAGTGACTGCATCTCTAAATAAGTTCATGCTTGATAATAATTGAGAATTCCTCTTGTATACTGGAGCATATTACTTACTACATCTTGTGATAAGAAAAGATAGGGCACAAAAGGAACACGCTGGTCAGAGAAGGTTTCATTTACAATGGGTACTGGAAATGGTTGAGAAATTAAATAAGAGCTCGAGGTACACCTAAGCACTTCTTACGAGTTATGAATGCGAAAACATGCAAGCCACTCGTCCGCTCCCTTTGTCGTCTGCTGCACACTTTTCGTCACCGGTCAGCACGCGTGCTCCCCCAAACACGCTGACCTTGGACGCTCCGTGTTAATGGCGCGCTGATGGACACGCAGCGCCATGGGGTGAGCAATCGTGGAAACTGACGATCGCAGCGGCCAATGGGAGCCCCGTCGACGTGCGCCAGCCAATGGAACATTTGGGATCGGGGAAACTACTAAGTGCCGTTCTTGCGCTTCAAAATGATGACGTCAGCTCGCTCCATGGGACAGTTAATGCTTTCGCATTAATAACACAATACTTTTGTTGGGATAAAGCCTCTCTCCCCTCTACAATTTACACTCGGAAGTTTATTAAGCCTCTAAATACAATTTCTGTAAAATGCGACCAAGAACCAGCATATCCGCCAACACGTCTATCAATAAAAATGCGTCCCCCAAGTTTTATGAAGAAACCAAACTCTACTCCAATGTCATAAACTGCAAAAACACCCACCCACAAATATTACAAAAGCCTACACTTGCGCTTCAAAGGTGTCACTGCTCTTTTGCAACGTTCAACTTGAGTCAGTTTGCTGCTCTTTCAATCGACAGCTGTATGGAAACTACCGTGGCTACAGCATTTATTCAAATATAGACCCGTCTTTTTTTAAAACGCAGCTCTTAGGCGCCCGTTTCCGGCTTGAGCAGCGTCGGCGTAACCAAGGTCACCCCAAGGTCACGTGACCCCCCAGTGACCCACCGAGGTCACGTGACCCCCCACAAGGTCACGTGACCCCCCAAGGTCACCTGAAGGTCACGTGACCCCCCAGTGACCCCCCGAGGTCACGTGACCCCTCACAAGGTCACGTGACCCCCCAAGATCACTTGACCCCCCGAGGTCACGTAACACCCACCCCCCCAGGTCACACGACCCCCTCCCCCGAGGTCAGGTGACCCCCCCGGAGCATATTAAAGAATGAGGGGAGGAGGAGGAGAAGGAGGAGGGGTCTACCCTCCCCTCAGTACCCTTCCCTCCTCCTCCTCAAGAGCTGCGCTCCAATTCGGCGTTACAGGAAAGCTGTAAACGGCTTTCACTTTTTAGAGCGCAGCTCTTAGGGGCCCGTTCCCGGCTTGAGCGTCGTCGCTGTCGGCGTAACTAAGGTCACGTGACCCCCAAGGTCATCCCAAGGTCACGTGACCCCCAAGATCACCGCAAGGTCACGTGACCCGTGACCCCTCCCCTAGGGTCACGTGGCCCACAAGGTCACGTGACACTCAAAATCACGTGACCCCCCCGATGTCACGAGACCCCCATCGAGGTCACGTGACCACCCGAGGTCACGTGACCCCCCCTCCCCAGAAGTCACGTGACACCCCCCCCCCCCAGAAGTCACGTGACACCCCCCCCTTCCGAAGTCACATGACACCCCCCGAGGTCACGTGATCCCCGAGGTCACGTGACCTCCCCAATGACGTCATCGTCACTGATGACATCACCGGCATCCGCATCGTCATCGTCATCATCACTGATGACGTCATCAGTGACGTCACTGATGACCTCACTGGCATCGTCATCATCACTGATGACGTCATCAGTGACGTCACTGATGACGTCACCGGCATCCGCATCATCATCGTCATCATCACGGATGACGTCATCAGTGACGTCGCTGATGACGTCACCGACATCCGCATCGTCATCGTCATCATCGCTGATGACGTCATCGGAGTCCGCATCGTCATCGTCACTGATGACATCATCGGCATCGTCACGTGACCCCCCAAGATCACTTCATCCCCCCTAGTAGCCTTCCCTCCTCCTCCTCAAGAGCTGCGCTCTAATTCGGTGTTACAGGGAGTTGTAAACGGCTTTCACTTTTTTTTCTTTTCTCTCTTTCGTGACTGTATTTTTTTTATTTTACTTTAGTTAGACATTAATTTAGACAAAGAAGGTCAACCTGTCATAACCCTGAGTATAATTTGCATGCCTATCACACTAACCAAGGACCTCCCCCAGGTAAGCTGCTGCTCTTAGAACTCCAGTGCAAAGCACTGAAGCTTTACGCGCGCACGCTAGTGAGACACGGTGAAAATTTATGTGAGCGCCGCAAGTGCCCCAGTACTCTCTTCAGCCATGGCACGAAGGCATCTAGCAGACGCGATAGTCAAGTGAACTCTTCGGGAGTACGAGATCCTGGTTCTGTCTTATCACACCGGCCACCATCCTACTATTCTGCAAATGTTTCTCGCAACTTTTAGTTCCTGAGATTGCCGACATCGTCTGTAAATTTAGATGGCGCCGGCAATCAACTGGCCAGAGCGGTTGACGAGCAATCTCTATGCTTGGTGTCACCTTAAGTTGAAGCTACAGCCCATGCTACGAGTCAATGGAACCAACCAAACAGCATCAAAGCGCGACATCATGGCATTCGTTATCTCCCTATACGTGTTCTATCATTGGCTAAGCCAATCGAGTGCAGTGAATGTAACGTGACTTGTACTTTTAGTATGCGTTCATGATTATACGTGTTCATGTCTTTGACTGTGCTCTGACCTACGATGAAACAAATTGTACAGTGAGCAGAGATACTGTAAATTACAACATATCTGTACATTTTCTTTTCCTTCTACTTCTCTAAATATTAGGGACAACCAACAATAAAATACTTCTCTTGTTTTTCTTTAAGCCCATCTCGGCACAGGTATGTCACGATTCTTTGTAAAATGGCATTTTAGCACAAGATGTAGCAAACTATCGCTCACGGCACAATTAGGCATACAGATTCCATCACTAATCTTATGACTATCTTGCCTTATCATACGAGCCTTTCTCATCATTTATATAAAAAATGTAGACTCAACTTGTACAGTATTTCTGTTTGTAACAATGCTTGTCCAATGCCAGCTAAAAGCCTAGTGTGACTTATTTAAGATCAATGACTCAAAAAATGCCTATGAAGTAACTATTAAAATTAGTTCCTACATGGCTTACAATGAGTGAGTAGCACCTGCCAATTCACTCCAACAGGCTATAGATTTCCGACTAGAATAGAACCCCTTTAATATCAGGCTCTATTGTAGTTTATATAAAACCTAATTGATAGAAGGTTACAGATCATACTTTCTCTGAAGTTTCCATACTCACATCTAACAATATTTTTAGTTTGATTTTTCTCACGCGCCACTTAATTTTCTCGGCGCATATTTTGTGTAAAACCAACTGTGCATGCTTTTGTGAGTTTGTTATTTACACCAGAATGCATAGTGCTGACAAAAGGTGCACCCCTCTCTAGGCCTATGGGCTGTTCAGGGACACCCCTGGAAAGTGAACTAAATAAATAAATACTTCTTTCAGAGGTCCACGGTGCACAAACGTATGATCAAGAAATGTAACAGCTGATAACGCCTTTCGGGGCCAACGGCAAGAGGAAAAGTTCACATAGCAATTTCTTTAACCCCTTAAATGCCAAATTTTTTTTTTCCAGAAGTAACCTAAAAGTGCCAGATTTTTTTTATTTTGAATTGTTACTCCTCTAGTATTACACACAAAATTTGAAAAGTTTATTACGCAAAAATCAGCGGAGGCGAAAAAAATAATTCCCAACTAATACGAGTGCTGCCCATCTATGATCGGCACCGCAAAACTACTCGGACGAGCCTTGCTCGTCCGTGGAGTTGAGGGCAACCGAAAAAACCACTGGATGAGCTGAGCTCGTCCACGGCATTTTTAGCCAGAAAGTGGCCGACGAGCTCAGCTCGTCCAAGACACTTAAGGGGGGACATGGGCCTAAATTTTAAATTTTTTTGAAAAAATCCATTTTTCAATTTTACGGTTTTCAGTTTTATAAACTTATTATACACCCTTACACCAAATTTGATAACCATTCGCCAAATAGTTATGTTGATATAGAATATTTTCAACACATTGTGAGGCAGTAACAAAGTAAAGGAGTTCAATGTTCGAATGCATTTTTCTCAGTTCCACTTTTTGCAGCAAAATTCATACGAAGGAATCTTTTGTTCGAAGGTAAAAGTTTTCTGATACCACAATCAAGATGTTTCTGAACTGAAATTTACTGGGGAATCGGGCTATCTACTTTGTTTTGTTTTAAGTTGAAGTC